AAAACCAGAAGAAAAGAATGAAGGGAGGAAGAGAGGGAAGGAGGAAGGGAGGGAGGGAGGCAGGGAGGGAGGAAAATGCACAGGAAAATGCCATCATCAGCAGATGGGAGAATTGAGGAGTCCAACAGCTTAGGAGCTCACTCTGAGGACTTGTAAAAATACCAGCTAGCATTCCATCAGTGCTTTCCAGTTTACAAAGATTTCTGAATATAGTATCCCACTTAATTGTGAAGGCTGTTAGCTGTGTGGGCCACACCTTCATCCCAGTGTCACAGGCAAGGAAAGGACATTATGTTGCATGGTAAGGACAGGACTAGGAAGATTACAGGGCCATCAGGTAGCAAAGTATCAGAGCTGGGAAAAAAATCTTCCTGTTCTCAGTGTCATCAGGATCCCCAACAACACCACCTGCAGCCGCAGGGCTCCCTGAGCCCATGGGGAAGATGGTCAGTCCCAAGTGCGCTGTTGACACCTGGCTCCCAACACACACCGTGGTGGAATGGGTTGGAGAGAGAGCTCCTTTCCCTGAAGATAAGGGAGTCCTCTGTAGGGAAAGGATTGGGACTGCAAAAAAAAAACCAAAAACCCAAAGAACAAAAAGCCATGATACCTGGCGCTCTACTACACCCAGGAACAATGGGAGCCACAGAACCCATGACAGCAGCAGACCAGCGGGCGTCAGGACAGCTGAGAGCCGGACAATACACCCCAACCCTCAGAGCCGCGATGGGCACACCAGCTGCACAGGGCTGGGAGATCCACGATCCATGCAATGCTCTTTTCACACTGAGCACAAGAAAAGCATCACCTGTCCCAGTGTGACAGTGATGCGCAAAAACTCCCAGGCCCCCACCCAGGGTGGAAGGGAGAACTGCTACACAGCAGCTCCTGGGGTCCCAGAGTCTGGGTGAGGACCGGGACAGTGTGGTGCACAGGACTTCGGCTAGGTGCTGGGGGCTGGCGCTGCCCACCTGCCTGCCCGTCTGTCCAGCTCTTCCTCAGAACAGTGGCCGTAAGTGACATTTACACACTAGTGGACAGTAACATGTTTCTTTGAACTTTAAAAAGAAATATTCCACCTTTCTGACCAGAGGTCTGTTATGACCGATTTGTCGCCAAAAGACCTTCGCCATGGAGAGCATCTCACCTGCACCTGGAAAACACATGACCTCAGTGTCTGGCTCCAAGGCCGGGCAGACCGTACTGAAAGCAGAGGTGTAACACTGTAAGAACATCCATCCGTCACCTCTGTTAAACATACTGTCAGAGTCAGGCAGAAGCTCAACATGTTAACCAGGGTCCACATATTTTCAAAGTTATTTTTAGGAATACACAATCCAAAAAAAACCAAATCCAGTAACTGCAGCCTTAAGGATGCTTAGGTTTAGCAGCAGTATAACCCTGTGTGATGATGTGGTGTAACAGATATTACAGAAGTAATCTTTGTCTGGACTTCCTTGGACTGTCTGAGCGGTGTCACAGTGGAGACCAAGTGTTCTCCTTTCTTCGTGAAAGCACTCTGAGCCCAGATTCATATCTTCAAGGGTGACACTGTCCAAGTGACACTCAGGAGACTGCCAGCCCTACCTCTGCAGACCCCAGGCTGGGGGAAAGGAGAGATGAAACTTCTCATACACCCTATGTTGTTGGATTTTTTTCCCACTAGGACATGTACTTGGAGGATAGTAACATTTCTTCAGCTCCCTCACAGGTCCTTAGCTGGAATGAATCCCCATAAATAAACGAAAACACAAGACAGATCAAGTCGAGAAAACAGAAGTTTATTGACTTGTGTACTTCATGGACACACAGGGGCCAAACTGGGGACGAGTGGCTACTGAGAAGCTTTGGCTTTCAATTCCAGGGTATTTGGCATCTTCCACAAGGAGCAGGAGAGGCCAAGCAAAGCAACGCAGTGAAGGGAAGGGCTCTGAGCAGCACCTCAGGGAGGCAGGCAAGGGCAGGCAGTCGCTGTCCTGGGGCTGCCTCTCCCGGCCCATGGCGGTGTGGAGCTGCCTTCCGGAGCTCACCTCTGGTGCCCTGCAAGGGAGAAGGGTGTGAATCTCCATCCTGATCTGAGGCCAACAGGCAGGGCATTCACGGTGTAACTGTCTTCTGCTGACAATCCTTCACCACGTAGCAATTCCGTGTTTTCATGAAAAGACACACGTGTTTTATAAATAACAGTAACCAAGGCAGGACCAGTACACTCCTCTCCTCTCTAGGAACACTTAGGAAACCTCTGTCCCTTCAGAATCACAAAGATGCCTTCAGGACAGTCTGGGGGATTCTGTACCTCGAGAGAAATCCATGCTACACAATAATCATCAGGCAGCAGCTGAGCACCCTGTGAAATGGAAACTCCCTTCCTCCTGAGAAGCACTGCTCTGTCATCATAATACACTACAGATCATAAATGCTTTTTTCTTTCAGTGCCAGGGATGAAACTAAGGGCCCCGTGTGTGCTAAGCACAAGCTCCCCACTGAGCCACACGCCCTGCCGAGGGAGGATCAATTCAGTCCCTTCATCACCCCATAACTTCCGGGGGAGCCTGCAAGCTCCATCCCTCAGCAGGAAGAATGCACCACCATGTATCTGTTTCCCAGCAGCCTGCAGGCACCATAGAGTCCATTCTGGAGGGAACCAGGGCTCCTATCCCATCCCTCCAATCCCCACTCTTCCCCCCACACACACCTTCCTTAGATCCAACCTGTCCTGGGTCATAGAAAACCAGAGATCCCTGTGGCCCAGGGAGTCACTCCAGATCTCTTGGTGGTATCGCTGAAAAAAAGATGATTTCCTTCAGTGTCTTCAAAGAAAAACCATCAAGCCAAGTACTGCTATCCTTGCTAATATCAGTGACCTCTGGAAGCTGTGCCTGGTTGTATTAAGGAAAGGCAGTCTTTATCTCTCTCTACCGTGTATCAGTGATTCTCAACCAAGGGAGGGAAGACGAGGATAACAGAGAAAGAGCTCTTCTTCTGCTTATCTCAGGCTCACCCCTGAGCAGACAGCGCTGGTGGATGGCACTTCTTCCTTCTGAATGGGAAAATACGTTAACTCCACCTCTTTATTTAACATTCCCTAGGGTTGGAGACAGATTACATCCTCCTACTTCCAGGATCCGTATACAATTAAAAGGTAGCATTTTACATCCCTCACACCAACAATAGAGTTCTGGGACTCTTAACAGCATATTTGCTCTTGCCGAGTTTTGCATAAGGTACCTCAGACTAAAACATTCCAAAACTCTTTCCACATAAACGCCCTGAAGACCTTCCTCCAAGTCCACACCAAGCTATTTGGCTACAACTGTTAACTGGGTCTTCTGCGGGTGGTTCCAATTTCAATTTCAATTTCACAGATGAAAAGTTCTAACTCATTCTGAAGCACAGGATCTGCTTCAGTGTTTCCCAAGCAGCAGCGATGTTCAGAGCTGGAAGAATCCAGTGCCCAGCAGAGGCACAGAGGGGAAGGGGCTGGACAGGACCACCTGTCCCTCCTTGCTCCTTCATGGCCAAATCCAAGCTTGATGCATGCAGATGTCTGCGCAGAGGCGGGAGAAAGAACCCAGGAGAACAATGCATTCCCCACATGTGCTCGTGTTCAGAGGAGCCCTTCCAGGTTCCCACAAGCAATCTCCTTGTGCCTGGAAGAGGATTCCACTGAATCAAGGTGACAGGACCTCAGCAATGGGTCCACATGGACATCACTGTAAGAGTCAAACTGGGAGGAAGCTCTTCCTCCTGTTTCTCAACTCGCTCCTGCTTCAGGTCTCTTGCAGAAGGAGACTCCTGGCCTGTCAAAAAGGTCCTCACTGGTCACTGGAGAACATTACGCCAGCCAAAGCACCATCAGTTAGGGTGAGGACAGTTTCAGAAACACTCAGGGTAACACTGCAAACCCACACAAACACAACCCAAAGAAGATTTAGCATTGCTTCTTATGGGACAGTTTCCCAAGCAATTTAACATACCAAATGGGTCTAACTAATTTAACATCACACCTTTTATAAGAAGAGCGTGTCAGGTAAAAGAGCCGAAATCGAAGACCGGACCAGACAAGCCTTTATTGTAGGGACGATCTGCTGGCCTGTCTCCAAACAAAGGAGAGCAATATGGCCAGGACAGGGAGTGCTTCTTATAGGAGCTGGGGTGGGGCTAAGTGATGTAGTGGCTAGGGATTGAAGGAGCCTGTGACATCACTAGTTGCTAGGAGGTAGCAAGTATCAGGTTATTCTTTTGGGGGGAAGAGGGGCATGTTGGGAAGACGAAGATTGTCTTTTGGCCGGTGAAGCCATATTTTTTAAGTGGGAAGCAGGGTATTATGTGAAGGAGAAGGCTGCCATTTTATGTAGCATCCATCTTAAGGCGAGGGAAATCTAACAGAATAATTTCTTTTGACTCTTTTTTTTTTTTTTTTAATTTTTCTTTGGTATCTGGGATCGAACTCGGGTCCTTCTGCTTTCGAGGCACGCAGTGGAATCACTGAGCTAAATCCCCAGCCCTCAGAATAATTTTTTTGAGATTTCCCAGAACTGTCTGGGAAATATCATTCAAGGTCAAAAAAGATGCCATTTGAATTTGATTTTCAGATGTCAAAAATATCAAGATTAAGGACTTAATTAAATAGGATCACAGATGATGATGAAAGGATACTCAGCTGGCTGAAGTGTTAATAAAAGTTTTTAACAGCAACTACGGAAAATTATATAGCTGTGAATAAATCTATCTTTTCACATATTGAGAAGACAGTTTTCTCAGGTAATTAAAGACCTGATAAAAAAGACAATGTGAAGAACAGGAAATTATTCAGATAAAACCTTTTTTTCTTGGCAGCTTGCTTAAAGGTTAAACAAAAACTTTCACGAGTTTTTATTAAAAATAAACCAATAACCTTAGAAAACCACCATTATGGTTTTGAACCAGTACACTTTGACAGTAGGGCTTACATCTCAAGTTTGTTGTCTGTTGCTGTAACAGAAGGCCTGAGACTGGGTAGTTTATAGAGACAAAATATTTATTTAGCCTCAGGGATCTAGATGGCAGTACATCCATGATCGGGGCTGGTGTATATGCAGAGGGCCTAACGCTGAGCTGTAACACTGTAGAATTCACCAGGCAAGTGATGGGTCAGTGCCCTGGCTTTGTGACAGCTGCTCTCCTGTCATAAATCCATTCTTCAAAACAGTGAGAACTCAACACCATGAGAATCAAACCCAGGTCCCTGAGGAAGGCACTAAGTCCTCTGAACTAGCTTATGAAATATATTATACCTAGCTGGATTCAAACTGCTTCTGGCAGATAGAACAAATTAACAGAACAAGTGGCTTTATCCGCTTGGATGACTAGAGCTTCATTTTAATATCTGTAGAAGAAACTTTTCAAAATTCCCATTTTCCGGGCTGTTCCCCACTTCTGTTCCCCTGCAGTGAGGGGAGTTTTTATGGGGTCAGGAGAAGGCAGAGTGGAAGATGTACAGCTCACAAGCACAGAGAGGATATCAGTCTCCTCCAAAAAGTCTGGAGGCACATCTGCCTCGTATTCTAGTTGCAGGGTATTACTAAACTGCCCCCTCTTTTCCTTAAGCGCAGGACAGTTACTCCACACTGTCTGACTTTTCCACTCTGCATGTGTCTTGAGATGAACTGGGCAGGTCTAAGGATCAGTAAGGATGGGTGGCTTCAGGATTCCTTTTTAGAGTCACATTTCTGATTTTGTGAAGTCTCAATCTATAAAACAGGGACAGTTGATTTTAATTCCTTAAAGAACTGGGTCACAGCCCACTTGACACCTACAGGCAGACCTGCCTATCTGATTACATGATCTTCCATTTGCTCCTTTATGTCAGGGAGCAGATTTCCAACAAAGATGGAAACCGGAACCTCTCTATGTTCCACATTTCAAAATGTGTGTCTTTGGAATGTCTTAATAAATTCTCCCACGAAGGCTTCAGCACACTTTTTTCTCTAAAGTTCCATTTTAGCTTAGGAGAGAAAACCTTAAAAATAAAGAATCTGTCAGGTTCTCAACATCAGCCTCTAATTAGCCCAACTCTGGGCCAGAAAGCACTCTCCACCCTTTCCCTTTATGTGTACCTCTTTTGGACAGCTTCTCCATTTTGTTTGAGATAAATAGTAGATGGAAGCATTCTATTTTTAAAAATTATTTTTCTTAAAAAAAAAAAATGTTATCCGTCAAGTGACTCAGAACCCAAAGCAATAAGCTCTTTTATGACAACCATAGATCTAAATGATGTCCTCGAAAAGAGTACAAAAGCTGTGGTTCTCACAATACCCAGAACCTCTCCCAATGTCAGCAGAAGAAATAAAGGCACAGGTCACCCTTCTCAAAAGGCTCTGTACATTAGCTGCTAATGGGCTCCAGCTCACTACTCTGACCGGCCCTGTCCTTGGGGACCCAACTTGAAGTTGTCTGCCACACACACACCTTGACAAGTCCTTGGGACACAACGGAGACGAACAGGAAAGCAGCAGCTGGACCTGGAGGGAAGGACCAATACCCAATGGGTACCCCAAAACTAGACCACCAGTCACGCCATTTAACAAATGTGTTCATCTGAATTTAGAAGAGGAACACGGGACAAGCTTTACCTTCTCTGAACTGCTTGGTGCAGGTAGATAGCCAGGAGGGCTGACGGGGGTGAGAATTCTTACTGTCCCAGCCTCTGTCAGCGGCTCCTGACCCGGCTGCACGCTCCCAGCCGGCAAGGTGTCCTGGCTGTGCCATCGGAGTCACCGGGACCTGTCGGGAGGAAAGAAACCTTTCATCCTGAGCTTCCTTGCCTGGCCCCTGTAGCCAGGATAGAGTAACAAACACAGATGCGCTATCTGTCATAAATGTACATGACGCACAGCCATGAAGAAACCCATTTCTTAATAGCAGAGCCGATCAGGAAGCAACAACCGTGGAGAAGCGTGACGGGGCAGCGTGCGATCTCAGTGCAAGGGGGAGGGGACCTAGCAGGGCCTGTTTGCTCCGCTCCTCCTTCCTGACCTCGCCGGCCTCTGGGGGTCGGGAGGACGCCTGGGATGTGAGCGGCCCCAGGTTTTGCGATCGTGGTGGCCAGCCTGGGGCATGCACGCGTCTGCAACGATGTCATGCGCTGTCCGAGTTGTTGCTTCCGAACTAAAGCCTCCGTACCCAGGCTTCCCGGCAGCAGTAGGTCTGGGGCGGCAGCCTGGGCACGCGGTCCCAAGGTTCGCCATTGCTGGTCACTCTACCCTTGCTCCGAGGCCCACCCCGCGCAGCTGCCCCTCGCATGCCCACAGCGACGTCGACCCGTCTCCGGCCAAGGGAGAAATCACGAACCAGTGCAGCGCAGCTCTGCTGGCAGCCCTGGGCCCTGGCAGCCCTGGGCCCTGGCCGCCCTCGTCCCTCAGCCCTCGGGGTCAGCGCGCTGCTCTGGTGCCGCCGGGCGCGGGCCCGCACGGAGCTCGTAGAGGTTAAAGCCTAGACTCTAAGGGTCTTTTAAAGCAACCACTCTGGCCACACCTCTCGCTAAGTATACTTAGCAAGGCCCACCCAGCCCACACTACATTAGAAATCAATCACACAAACATTTACAAAACCGCCAGAACAACCCCTTCCTAGTATCGAGGAAACCCCGCGCAGAGCTGAGGAGAGCCAGCTTATATACGAGCGGCCAGCCATATTCGGGCTTGCTGATTGGTCTGGACTCAGGCCTGTGATTGGCCCATATTCAGGCCTGCTGATTGGTGTGGATTCACGCCTGTGATTGGTCCAAACTGGTTTAAATTCAAATCTTCAGATTGGAGCCTGCTGGTTGGTCCAAATTCAGTTCTAGAGTTTAGCTCAAATCTAAACTCGCTGGGGTGAGTGCAGCTGCCTGGGGTCTTTGGCCGTGCTGTCGTCTGGGCCGTGCTGTCGTCTGGGCCGTGCTGAGGGTGGGGCACTGCAGCCACTGTCACCGGCGCACGGCTGCCCTGCTGCTGACCGTGGCCGCGAGCCCACGGGTGTCTGCCTCTGTCCGCCGCCCAGCTCGGTGGGAGCCGCTAGCCCAGGGGAGCTCGAGCTGGTCCCGAGCTGCTCTCGGTGGTTTCATGCACGTTCTGGCCTCCTAGATCCCATGGGAGAGCCGTGTGGGGGTTTTTCCAGGAGCCAAACTGCTTTCCGCAGTGGCTGCACCACTTTACATTGTGGGCTCTGTGTGTGCGTGTATGTGTGTGTGTGTGACAAGGTCTCCCTATGTGTTCAGGCTGGCTTTGAACTCCAGGTGATCCTCTTGCCTCAGCCTCCTGAGGGGTGCTTACTTTATGGCCTCCTATTTATTTATTTATTTATTTATTGGTACCAGGGATCGAACTCGAGTCCTTGCGCTTGCGCAGCAGGTGGCAAAACCACTGAGCTAAATTCCCGGCCCTAGTGGCCTTTTTTTTAATCATGTGTGTTTTTTGTTTTTTGTTTTTTGGTACTGGGGATCGAACTTGGGACCTTGCGCTTTCAAGGCAGGCGGGGAAACCACTGAGCTAAATCCCTGGGCCAACCACGTGGTTTTAAATGACCCAGAGGGCATGGGGGGGGCAGCCCGGGAAACCCTTAGGACCTGGAAGAGCCACAGCAGCCTCACACATCAGACCCTCTCTAGCTGTGGAGCGGGCACAAGGGTAAGGGTTACCTTGCACTGCCCGGGGCCCAAAGGAGGAGCCCAGATCCCTGAGCTACGGTGTGGGCAATGGTGAAAAGCAGCCTTAGAAAGCCCATAATGCAAACCCTCTCTGAGCAATAGCCAAGGCCCGGGAGAAGAGAAAGAGCCCGAGACCTTCTCACATGTGGAGAAATGTTTGGCAAGGAGGAGAAGCAGAATGGAGGCCAGTGATATGCTGAGTCCCACCTACACGGAGCCACTACAGCAGGCTCTTTCATCCTGCGCCGTGCCGCTCGCAGGGTGGAGGGAGAAGCCCTCACTGCTGTGATAGTACAGATGAGCAGCCTCCAGTGAAATGTGCTTGGAGACCACCCAGACCCACGCTCCTGCCTAAGCACTTTGTGCCCTGTGGTTGGAGAAGAAACTGAGGCGCTGGGGAATAGGCTGAGCAGAGCTGGCAGGCTTCTCCCAAGCCCTAAGTGTCTCCACTTCGCCTCCCTGTCCCGAGGTTTCTAGCGGCTTGGTTCGGCTTTGACCTTCTTGTTTATCTGAAAGGAAACAAAGTATAAGACGAACCATTCTAGATGGCTTGGAACTATATAGAGTACTTAATGCAAGGGTCATGGAAAACAACAGTGAGTGTTTAAACTAAAACTCGCTACAGTAAAAGACACATTGTCATGAATCCCCCTCAGAATCCTCTCCCTCTCTTTGAACACACTTTCCCCCATTCTTTCTGAAGGAGTTCTGAAGTCCTCTCCTGTGGGTGTCTTTATGAGGTACGATCAGTGAAGACAGTAACTGCTGCTGCCAAGCACCATCCAACAGAAAGGCAGCTCCTAAAAGACGCCGCTGTGTCCCCATCCACCTTATTCACCCCATCTGGTACCGTGCGACTTCTGGCTCTTCCCCAAAGCCAAAATAACTGTCAAAGGGAGATGTTTTGAATCAGTTCAGGACATCAAGGCAGCCAGGACAGAGCAACTGAAGACCCTCAGGAAAGAGGGTTCCAGAGCTGCTGCCGGAAGTGGCGAGTGTCAGGTAAAAGGGCCGAAGACCAAGACCAGACCAGGCCACAACAAGCCTTTATTAGGGGAATAGATCTGCCGGGCTGTCTCTGAACAAAGGAGAGACAAAAGCAATATGGCTGGGGCAGGGAGAGTCTTTTATAGAGACTGGGGTGGGGCTTGTAGGGGCTGAGGCGGGGTTGAGTGAGGTAGTGACTAGGGAATGGAGGAGCCGGTGATGTCACTAGGTGGTAGAAGGTGAGCAAGTATTAGGTTACTGTCTAGGTTGGAACAGGGGCATGCTGGGAAGAAGGGTTTGTTCTTTGGTGGGAGCAACCATCTTGGCATGATGTCACACAGGGGAGGGGGCAAGGCACCATAGGAAGAGGGCAGCTACTGTACTTAATAGCTGCTGAGGTTGTGGGAGACCTATCAGCGAGGAGCATGGGATGAGTGAGTTGGAATGGAGGGGAGGACTTTGAAGGGGATTCATGGTGATGTCTTTTACTGGTATACAATTTCTAAACACACATTGTATTTTTCAATCACTCCTCATAGTTAAAGAAGTGCAGTTTGATTAAGAAAAAGCATCAGCTTGGGACTGGACTCCCTCCCCCGATTTACCATGAAAACTGAGCCTGATCCAAGCGCTGTAGCCCAGAGCGCCTGTGTTCTGCCAGTGCACTGCTGGCCTGCCGGCCGCCTGCTTTGACAGTTGCGGGCTGACTCCCTGCTGCAGATGGGACAAATCCACACCCCACAGAGCTCCACACAGCCCTGTGAGGTTCTCGAGGACCATGTGCTCCGTGGCCCTGCACAGTCTGCACTACAAGGACGGCACCAGCCGTGCACTTGGCAAGCCAGGTGGCAGGAGCATGTGGCCCAGCCCTCAGACGGGACAAGTGGCTGGGCATGAGGAGGTGCCAGAGCTGAGGCAAGACCAGCTGCCCCAGGAGGAAAATGGGAACAAAGGAGGCCCCAGGGAAGAGACCCGGAGGCCAGCCCTCCAGGAGGAATTGGAACCTTGTCATGAGCCCAGGGCCGTGCTGGGGACATCATCAGGAACTCTGCAGGCCCCTCCCTGACACTGAACTCGACCCACCCTAGAAATGGCAGCTAACTGCTAGCACAGAGAAAGGGCTGTGTCCTGAGCTCAATGCCAGAGATGGGGAGGTGCCCTTCATTCTTCCCCAGCTCACCAGACTGCCACGAGGGTCTGTCACCTCCCTCCTTACCCACAGCACTGCAGCTCACTGTGACCTCTCTCACATATTGACAGGGAAGGGTCTTCTGGTGGCCGGACTGTTTTAGTTCTGCAACACACACACTCACTGTGTGAGGGTTGAGATCCCCCAGAAGGCTCATGAGTTCAGACGTGGGCCTCTGGGAAGGTGACTGGACCATGGGGATGCTGTGCTCAGCAGTGGACTCGTCCATGGGTCAATTCCTGTGCTCTTAGGAGGAGGGGCCTGGCTGGAGGTGGTCACTGGGATGTGACCTGGTAGGGTGCATCTGCCTCCCTGGCTCCTCCTTTCTCTTTCTGCTTCCTGGCTGCCTTGAGGATAGTAGCTGTGCTTCACCACACCCACCCCTCACCGTGATATTTCTGCTGTTGTGCCCAGATTACGAAGTCCCAAAGACCACCAGGAGGCCGTTTCCGATGTAAGCACACGAGAGTTATTTATTCAGGCTTAAGCAGGGACTCTCAATTGTCACCGACACAGCGGATCGAGATTGAGAGCCCCGAGTTCCAAATTAGCAGGGTTTTTATAGAGGTTACAGCAAGCTTCGGTCATTAGCAGCCATATGATTGGTTAACATTTAGCAAGTATGAAGTGTAGAATTTTGATTGGCTAGGCTCATTGGGGGTTGAAGGGGATTATGTATAGGTTTTTACAAGAAAAATGGGGACAAAGGTTAGTGGTCTACTGTCACGTACTGATGGTCAGCAGACATCTTGACTAATGGTCATGACCACCCTGTGTGGATAGTCAGCACGTTAACAGATTGTCCTATAGATAGTGGGCCCGGGACACTTGTTTCTAGGGCAAACAGATGGCTGAGTAATGAGCTTAGGAATCTTGAGTTACAGATCATGTCTTTTGTCCCAGATTAAGCACATTTAATCATTAATTTGAAAGAACAAAGGAGACTGCTCCATTTTGGACAAAATGGAGTCATTCTGGTCTCACATTCACAAAATGGAGTCACTTTTGGTCTCACACTGCCTTGGAGCCACCAACCATGGCCTGAATCCCCTGAACCATGAGCCAAACTAAAGCTCTCCTTTAAGTTGTGAGTGTTGAATATTTTGTGCCAACAACAGGAAAACTAATACACTGTGGGCATGGCATTCAGTTTTGCCTTTTTCAAAACTGGTAACAAAACACTGCAGAAGAGGCTGGAAGCCGAACCAGTCCCTGGCCCTGTGGTGCTGACTGCAGCAGAAGCATTGGAAAGCACTGAGATCCAGGCCTGTCCTCCTTTCCCGTGAAGTCGAGAGCTGGGTGCCAGTCTCTCCTGTTAGATCAGCCTGCTTGAGCCTCTACACACATGGGTGTGTGTGTGTAAATGTGTGCTTGTGTGCATATTCATGTTGGGGTGCACACGTGTGTCTAAATGCCTACGCACATATGTGCAGGCCTCACAGATGGCACGCACGGCACTCACACGTGCAAAGACCGCTCCACACTGGCTCCACCCCTTGTGCAACCCCGCAGCCAGCAGGCCTTAGTCAATCATGCCCTCTGAAAGCTGGGGGGCGGTGGGCAGGGTCAGTCGTGGAAGCCCCAGACAACAGTTGCTTGACCAGGATTAGCCCTTATTTAGGAGGTCGCCCCTGCACAGCGGGCCTCCCTCACGACAGCTGTAGGAGCTCTCTGTCCAGTGTGCTTCCTCACACTGCCACGGTTCCTTTATGCAGCACACAGCCCACAGCCCCGGGGGTGGGTAATTGGATATCTCATTAACACCCTGAGGAGCTCTGAAACAGAAGCAAAACACCAAGAAAACAAGAAGCCAGAGGTACAGTTTACCACGGTAAGGAACATTGCTGGTAGCCTCACTGATAGGGAAAAGTTTTAGATAACTTAATAGATTCAATATTAAGGTAGTTATAGAAGAAAAATAAGTAATGTGTTCTTTTAAGATTTGCTTTTCCCATAACTCCTGGTGTAAGGTGACTGTTATCTGACTCTTTAACCAGTAACTTCATTAACCTAACAAAGTTGCACAGCCAGGGTTAATTTACAATGTATATGTGCCTATCCTGTGTCTGTGACTTGTAAATAGGAACTGGGATTGTATTTACACATCAAAGACCACTAGGGATGAGATAATGGCTAAAAAGGATATAAAAAGGGAACCGGTGAACAAAGGAGCACACAGGATACTAACCAGACCTGTTTCTGGCATTCCTGCTCGCGAGATTATTTTATCCGAATTCTGTGTCTCCGTGTATTTCTTTCCAAGATTTCTGCATCATCATGGGCCCGGCCGCTCCTAAACATTGCCCCACCGAAGAGCCTCCGGCCCTGGTTTGGGGTCTCTCCACCTCCTCGTCTGACCCTGCAATGTGTGCATTCCTAAACTACAGACTCTCCTTTGGCCCACTCTGAGCTGTACATCTGAGGAGTGACAATGCACCATTCTGTGATGTGCTTTCCCACTTGCAGTAATACCTGCAAGATTGTTCTGCACCACTAGGGAAGCTGCTGGAGTCCCGTGTCCACATATTGCACCCGCTGGGGACCCCGAGCTGTGTGTACCCCTTCTCTAGCAGATGGCTACTAGGGTCCTGGCTTCTGCTGCTGAGGACTCTCCCTGAGAGGCCTCTCCTGAGTCACGGGAGTGCTCTCCAGCTATGTGGCCAGCAGGCTCAGGAGCAGGAGGGGAGTGACCAGACGGTGAGCTCTAAATCTGGGTTTAAAACGTGGGTCAGTGCTGGAATTCACGACAGAGTACAGGCGACACACTCAGCCTTCTGAAATGTTTCACTGTCTCTGTTGTCACTTATAAGAACCTTCCTGCTCTCCCTTCGGGGTTGGGGTGAAGCCTGGACAGGTGGCAGGGTTGACAGGGGACCAGGGGAGCAGGTGGGGGCGGGGACACCTTCACCGTTGAAAAGGGGGTGCTGCGGGCTTGGCGGGACCTCTCGCTGGCCCCTGCCCCCTCTCCAGCTGACCTGATGCTGGGCAGGAATCCAGGGTGGCTTTCTGAGTTCTGTGCCAGGACGGCACCGGCAGAAGCAAGGAGCCAGACCCATGACCACAGCTTTGGGGATCTGGAGCCATCAGCGCCTCCAGAACAAGCCAGTTACCCTCCTGACCCTGACCCGTGGAAGGCACCAGAAGCCGTGTCTTCGGGCTGCAGGAAGGGGTCCTCGTGGTCAGGCTGGGATGGAGGAGAGTGGGGAGCTTCTGCTGTCCAGATGGTGGACAGAGCTGGACGTGAGCTCAGGCCTTAGCCTGGGGACCTCTGGAGGGATTCGGGTGGTTCGACTGAGGTCTGTGCCGTCAGCTCTGCTACAGGGCAGGGACCAAAGAAAGCCTTCAGGTTCAGGTGCGACAGCAGCAGAGTCCTCATGCTTGACGAGATGCGTGGTTCTGCCCCTTTCTCTGCGCGTCAGGGGCTGCCAGGCCCTAGCCCCGCCCTCAGGTAGCCACACACCTGTGAGGCCGGGATTTCTTGCTTGGGAACGGAGGCTGGTGACATGCACTACCAGACGTGGCCAGCAGAGGGCGGGGCGGCGCCACTATCCGCGCTGCAGGGCTGTGTCCAGGTGACACCCTAGGGGGCCGAGAGCCCCCCCCCCCCGCGCCCCACCTGCCCTGCAGCCCAGGCCCGGCTGGCCGGTCAAGCACACACAGCCGTCGTGAGGACGCTGTTCACCCTGCTGCAAGCGGCCCCTGGCGATGTCCAGCTGAGCCCCCTCCCTCTGCCCCAAACCCCATGACTGAAGCTGGAGCTGAGGGACACAGGGGGCCGAGAGCCTTGACACGACACCAGGGCGGCCTGCCTTGGGCCCAGGGGACAGGGCACAGGGCCGCGATGCCCCTAAGAATCCCAAGGCGGAGAGCAGGATGGGGATTTTAAAAGCATATCGGCAAATAAGTTTGCTGCCAGTTATCAAATTCCTTGTTTGTTCACACGAATGGCATAGAATGAAAAATCTTAAATTTTTCCCTGACAAGAGTTCAAATATTCAACAGAATGTTCTGGAAAGAAAAACTCCAAACCAAGGTCAAGTCATTGACGTGCTCTAGTGAAGCTTTGCAAAGATGCTGTCCCTTGTGATCCGATGGCTCCTCTCCTCTGCTCCCCAAGTCAAGTGAACTGTGCTCCAGGTGACACGGGGGGGCTGGACGGCAGGCCCCCTGGCGGGAGATGAGGGTCTCAGGCAGGCGCCAGGCTCTTCTTGATGAAGTGGCCCACCAGGCGCTGCGGCCGCTGCTGGTACTCGGCCAGCACCTCGTGGGGGCTGCTGATCTGGTCCCCAAGAAGGCGGTCCAGGAGTGTGACACACACCACGGCCGCTGCGGACAGCAAAGCCACTGCGTCACGAGGGCTGGGCCTGGCTCGGTCCTGGGGGGGGGGGGACTGGGAGCGGAGGGCACCCCGCTGTCCCCTCGGGACATGGGGCAGGGATGGCTCCTCAAGTCCCAGGGTGGGTTCCTACCTCTGTCACCCAGGGTCTTGTTCGGTAAAACCTGACCACAGCCAGAGATTAAGTCTCACAATGGCCGGGAGCTGCCCTGTCTCTGATTTGCCCCTTTCCTGTTTCAGGGCCCCCAAGCCCACCAGGACCTGGGGTACACGGGACGGGGGTCGTGGCAGGGACGCTGAGGACGCTGTGATGCCTTGTGTGGCAATCACCGGGGAGCTGTGAGCACCTCACTCAGAAGACCCCGGGGCCAGGGGGCAGAAGCCAGCACCAGGGTCCCAGGGCCAGGGAGCCCGCACAGGGGCCACCGGCCCCACCCACCTCGGAGGCCACAGGCGCTGCACATGGCGGCAAAGACGGACGACTCCATCTCGATGTTGCGGATGCCCGCAGCATGGGCCGCCTGCAGGTAGGCCTGCTTGTCCTTCTCTGTGTAGGTGCAGAGGGCGCCGTCCAGACGGCCTTGGCCTGCACACAGGGACCAGCGCGGTGACATGGGGTGCATTCGGCCCCGTCCTCCCGGCCACTGCCACCGCCCTGCACAGCGCCAGGGGCAGCAGCCCGCTCACCTTCGTAGAAGTCCAGGGTGCACATGGTGTTGCCCACCACCGTGGTGAACTCGCTGAGGTCAGTGGAGCAGTGCAGCAGCTCCTGCGCCAGCCCCTCGTCCAGGTCGGTGCTGCGCACCACACGCTTGCCCAGCACAATGTGCTCGAACTCCGGGTTGAAGCAGGCGTCCATGGCCTGCCGCGTGATGACCACGGAGCCAGGCTCCAGACCTGGGGGCAAAGCAGACGTCACGGCCCGGGAGAGGCGAGGGTGACCCAGCTGCCCCTGTGGGAAGAGGACACCCCGGGTCTAGGAGTCCCGAGCTAGAGTCGCCACGAGGGGAAGAAGCAGAGACATAGACAGTGCCTGGCCTCTGCACCCTCACCACAAGCAACACGGCCCCACGCTGCTGTCACCCTCGTCCTTCTGCCGCATAGGTGACCCAGGTATGTTTGCCTGACCCACATCGTCTGCTCGCAAGCAAATACAAAGCAGAAAGCAGCACTATATCCCCAGACCTGCCGAGCCCAGCCTCAGGGATGCCATTCCCACCTGCTGCTCGTCAGGACCGACACGATATTGGGGTCCAAATCTGGCGTGCTGGTGTTTTACAGAGTCTGTTCACACTGGTAAGACGGACTCTGGCCCTGTCCTGCGGCTTCACAGCGACTGTACATGATGGCCCACTGCCATGTCTGAGTCCCAGACTCTGCACTGAAGCTGAGCCTGGTGGGCCATGACTGTCATGCCAGCACTGCAGGAGGCTGAGGCAGGAGGATCGCAGGTTCCAGCCCTGCCCAGACAACTTAGCAATTTAGCAAGGCTCCATCTCAAAAAATAAAAATGAAGGGCTGGGGATTTAGCTCAGTGGTTCCGGAGCCTGCCTCTCAAGCGCAAGGTCCCGAGTTCGATCGCTGGTACCAAAAAAATAAATATATAAGTAAGTAAAATAAAAATAAATACGAAAAAGGGCTGTGGATGTAGCTCAGTGTGCCCTGGGTTCAATCCCTAGCAGGAAGGAGGAGGAGGACAAGGAGAAGGTGCAGAAGAGCAGACAGGTGATGCACACCTGTAGTCCCAGCTTCTCTGGAGGCTGAAGCAGGACCACATAAGCCCAAGAAGGCCTTTAGCTTTCTCCGTGCCGGGTCTGCAAACACCTGCAGCTGCCCACATCTCCAGCTCTGTCCCCACTCTGCCACCTTCAGGGGTCAGCAAGGATGACTCGTCACGTGCTATCTGTGCCATCACCTGGGCTCTGCTCTCCTTAGAATGTCATCTTCATGGGGCTACTTTGGGGGTTTCCAAGTCTGCAGTCCCTTCTACAGGATTTGTTCTGACCATCAATTGTGTTCACTACTGGTGACTGAACCGAGCTTTTGCACTGAGCCCCACCCCAACCCTTTTGTTTGCTATTTTGAGACGTGGCCTCACTACATTTCTAAGTGGCCCAGATTTGGCTCAAACTTGGGATCCTCTTGCCCCAGCCTTTATTTAGTTATTTTAGATTTTCTCATAAAAGCACTTTAAATGCTTGCAGGAAGAGGTGGGGCACTGAGTGAAGGAACAGAAGGTAGAAGGGAAAGAGGGACTGGAAAATGAGACACAAACAGAATAAGAAGACACAGAGTGTGACAGCAGAAGGACGAGGTTTGCTCATGCACAGCTGGGAGAAGGGATGCACAGCTCACTGACACACCAAGCTGCCTCGAACACTTCCTGTTGACAAGCTGCGGAGGGCAAAGCTGCAGCAAGAAGCTTGGTGCCCAGCCCCCTCCGCAGGGTGTGAGGCCCCAGGCTTACCTATCCCGCCAGACGTGCCAATGCGGATGACGGTGACGTTGCTGCAGCCGGCGTGGAACAGCAGCTTGATGAGCTCATGCAGCATGATGGCAATGGAAGGGATCCCCATGCCGTGCTGGAAGCGGAGCACAGCCAGCTGAGGCTCGGTGCAGCTATCAGCAGGGCAGCCTTGCCCTGGGGACAGGTGCATGTTCGCGTAATGTCCGTAAGTGGTATTGTTGTGATTGTTCTATTTTAGGATTAGCTATTTTATCAATGAGGCCTAATGTTTTAATGAGATTGTGTCACAGTTGTGTACGTGTCAGGGAGAAACCCGGAGCACACACAAGGCTTTGTCTACCTGCAGTGTCTGGCACCGACCGTGGTCTTAGGGTGCAGCAGCAGGTTCAGGGCTCCTGGGCCCCGCTTGATATTTCATATCCATCCCTCAATCTGAGGCGCTCATTGTGGGGTGAAGGGAAGGTGTGCTTCACACCGTGAGTTTAAAACCCGTGAAGACTTTGGGAACTGCACAGTATCCTGCATGGGACCCTACCTGGTCCACACACACACCATCAAAGGGCAGAGGATGAGAAACTGGAAGCTTGGCTGGAAGGTAACAGCAACTACTGCTGAGTAACAAACAGCTCCTATTGGCAGCTGAAGCCCTACACAACTGCCCACCCGCAGGCCAGAGTCTGCCTTCCTCTTTCCTCCTGGCACTCTGCCTCAGCCACACTGGGTGAGTGGCCAGTCCCTCAGCCCCAGCACCTGTGGACTCTGTGCCCCCAGTGCCGTGTCCTCCCTGTGCCGTCTGTCACACCCACCACCTCCCAGACACCCCGCCTGCATCTCGTCCTCCCTGATGCCCCTCGCTCAGCACTTTCCCAGTGTTGCTCCCGGGACAGAGCCCCCGGGCAGAGGAATCTCTCTCTAATTTGTCTCAGCGTCCTCCTCCCCCCAGAGATGCTTCCATACACCACCTATGACTCTGCCATCACTGGGTGAGGTGGCCAAGGGGACAGGGCCTGGGGCCCTGCACCTGCACCTGCCACCTGTGGGTGTGTGGACAGCTGCGCATGTTTGCACTGGGATTTGCATGTGTGCTCAGCCTCTGCAGGAGGACCAGTCCCAGAGCGGAACCTGGGTCCGGCCCTTCCGCCCCCCGCCACTCAGAGCAAACAGCCGATAAGGCACTGAGGCGGGGCTCGCATGGGGCGGTACTCACACTCACGGACAGCACCGGGCCCACTTTGTACATGGCGTAGCGGTCAGTCCCTGAGCATATGTTGGGGTACTCGTCCCCTGGGTGGCTGAGGCCCAGCTCCTTGGCCACGTATTTGATGAAGGTGAGCATCCGGGAGGGGCTTCCCCCCACACACACGAACTGCAAACAAAGCAAAAGGGGCTCAGGGTCGGGTCCCTGCCAGGAGGGCCATGTCACCTGGCAGCTCTCTAGAATGCCAGCAAGCTGCAAGAAGGCAGGCCCACAGCTGTCGGAAGTGCCAGTGTGGAGCCCACACAGGACCTGGAAGCAGTTCGGGGCCCAGGCGTGCTCCATATGCAGGGGACAGGGTGGCTCTGACACACACGGGGGACCCCTCACTGTCCCAGTGCCTCCTGTGTGACCAGGACCCACAGCCCAACTGTGAGCAAGCGGCCTCATGGCCCCTCTTCCCTGTCACCTGGACGCCCAGGGGACACTGCATGGGAAGAACCACAGTCCCCTGGGGACACAGGAAGTTTCAGCCATTGCACTGAGAACGGAAAACCTGAATTTTGACAGCATCATGTAAGAAAACATTTTATTTTGTAAAAAATAAAAATAAGGGCTGAGGATTTAGCTCAGTGGCTCCGCTGCCTGCCTTACAACCACAAGGTCCCGAGTTCGATCCTGGGTACCAAAAAGTAAAAATTTTTAAATAAAAAAATAAAAGTAAATAAGCCAATTTTAACAAGTTTGAAGGTAATAAAAATAGTTATTTTTTAAACATGAAAAATTTCTATAGCCTGAAATAAAAAAAAATCACTATACTAATCTAATGGTAATAATAATAGTAATTAGGGCCAGCGATTTAGCTCAGTGGTTTCACTGCCTGCTGCGCAAGCGCAAGAACCCGAGTTCAATCCCCGGTACCAAAAAAAAAAAAAAAATAGTAATTAAGCCTAATACAGTAATAATACAATTAAGCTTAATAGCTGAGTAGGATGAATGGAATTTTAGGGAATTAGAGGACATAGGAAGTTGTCCTGCAATTGGAAGCCAGCATTTCCCAGAACAATACTAGCTGTGGCAGAGAGGACACAATTCTTAATTCATAATCTGTGCCACAGGGGTTCCATGGCTTGGTTTATTTTGATTTTGAATTCCCCAGGGACTAGACATTTGTAAAGTCCTGTGGTAGCAGTAAGGTAGCTGTAGGTGACACCAAGTAGCTGTGAATTTCAAAACAGACCGTAGAGAAAATTCCAAATGATAAAGGTCTGTGTTATGGGTGTGATAACCTGATCTGATTGTTAGCCAGTGTATACGTCTATTAAAACATCACACTACGTCCTATAAATACAGTTACTATGTGTCAATGAAAAAGACATTCAGGGCCAGGGATTTAGCTGAGTGGTTTCGCTGCCTGCTGCACAAGTGCAAGGACTCAAGCTCAATCTCCAGTACCGAAAAAAAAAAAAAAAAAAGAAAGAAAGAAAAAGACATTCAAATTCTTTTTTTAAGTCTGTATTAGGTAAATTCTCACTGAGGAATTTAAGACTTTGTGGAGAAAACAGACTAAAGCTATATCCAGAAAAATTAGTCTTTGAAACAATTAAGCAATATACCAAGCAGATACAGTACAAATTCTTTCCATTTATTATGCCCGCATGCCTTGAAAATGTTTCATATTTCCCTCTTCTTTCAATGCAACTTGGTTTATTTTGTTTTGTTGTATTTATTTATTGACATAAGGTCTTGCTATGTTTGTTGCCCATAGCAACTGGAGCTCAAGCCATCCTCCCGCCTCAGCCTTCCCAGCAGCTGGGATTACAAGCCTGGGCTATCATTCCTGGCTCAGGAAGTTTATTTTATATACTGTTTCAATCACATACTACATTTGTAAGTGTACTTTGAACAGGGGAGGGGACAGGTCGTGGGGCAGATCCCTGAACTCAGAGCCGCCGTTTACCTTCACGTCCCCAAACATGGCGGGGAAGTCGTGCGTGCTAGTGCTGAGGCTGAAATGGTAGAGAACGTCCTCCTTCATGTTCGCCACGTGAGGATTTGAAAGCTGGACGAGGCGGTTCCTGCGGAAAACAAGCAGGTGTAGAGAGCACGGGTGTCCAAACAGGTGGCGCTGTCACAGATGCGCCCCACATGGGCGCAGGGATGTGGAGGGGACTGGATGACCCTGCGTGTCAGGTCCCCACTTTCGGTCCCATCCCCGCTTCCAGTGTCCTTCCTCCTCATTCTCTGCCCCAGGGCCCTGAGTCTACAGAAGCAGTGTTAGATGGGGTGGGGTGGGGGGTAAGTGGGGACTGAATCTAGGGCCTTCACAGCGAGCTAGGTCCCCAGCCGTTTTATATTTTTTTATTCTGAGTCAGTCTCTCTAAATGCTAAATTGCCCAAGTTTGGCTCGAACTTGCAATCCTCCTGCCTCAGCCTCCCCGAGCTCTGGGATTCCAGGCCTGTGTCACCACGCCTGATTTCCTATTACATTTCAAACTGGACAGTGCATCATTGCTCTAGAAGAGAGGCTGGCAGACTTTCTTTTCATACTGGGTATAATGACCCACATCTGTGATCCCAGCACTCTGAAGGCTGAGGCGGGAAGATCACAAGTTCCAGCCTGGCCTGGGCAAGTTAGTGACTTAGTGAGGCCCTGTCTCAAAACAGAAAAATTAAAAAGGCTGGGACGGAGCTTAGTGTGAAGGCCGGGGGTTTGATCCCCAGTCCGGGGCTGGGGGCATGGCCAATGTGGCTCTTGTGGTCTCTGGATGGCAGCATGGACAGCACACAAGAGTGCCTGAGGTCGGGACACAGGTGGCCTGGTCTAGATGACCACGGGAGCCTGAGAGTGTGTCAGCCAACCTTCCACACAGCTGCTCTGACTTCCAGCACAGTGAGGTTCCCCGGGGGAAACTGAGGCCAGGTGGGCTCCCCTGAACCCAAGGCACCGGGGCCCTCTTGTTCTCCTGCTGAGCCTGGCTTTCTGCCCAAAGCCAGCTGGCTGGTTTCCTCCTACACCCAGCCCCTGAGCACAGGTCTTGGCTGCCTGAGAGTGGCTGGGGAGGACCCTGACCTCACAGTGCCTCGACAGGGGCCCGTGTGCGACAGGACCATGCTCAGAACTGGCCCCTCCCAGCCACCGAAGGGGCACAGGCCCGTCTGCCGCTGGGCGGGTGAGCAGCACCCTGAGTCGGCGCCAGGCTGCTCTGCGGGAGGCTCAGCCTGTGGGGGGCTACAGGGGCAGAGGGTCTCATCCGCCTGCCTCCCTCTCCCAGGGGCCGCTGCTCATCCCCACGATCTCTGGGCTTAGCATAAGAACTGTAGTCATCTCGGCAAGGAAAACCCCCAGCCCTGTCATACTTCTCGCTGAATCCTGCACCACATTCTTGCCATTTCCATTTCCTGTTTCCCTCTGGCGGATGCTGAGACCCCTGTTCTCCCCATTTCTACACCTCATGCTTCTCCCGGCAGTTCCCAAACTCCCCCTCCTCCTGGCCGCCCCACCCAGGCCAGCTGAGGCTGCCAAAGGACCAAGGCCGACTAGAGACTAAAGGCCCAGACCTCTGGGGAGGGGGTGGGGCTGGGAGGCTGTTGGCCAGCAGGCGTTAGGAGATGACCAACAGCCTAGAGCTGAGCGGTGACCCCCACCCTGATGCACCAGTGGCACCCAGGCCAGAGCTCAGGACGGCTGAGCAGGGTCCATGCCCAGGGCTGCTCTTCTCTCTGATTCACAGACTGTCCCACTTGGACCAATCCCGAAGCGGTGCGCTAGGACCATCTCTCACTTCCCAGAAGCCTTTTCCATCTCTAGAGGCTCTGAAATCCCGACCTTCACAAACCTCTTCAGCATTTTGAGTCTCATGGGCCACAGCTGTCTTTCCCACAATCAAGCTGCCCTCAGGCTGTTATGGAAACAGCGTGAACAGCAGGGCCCGGGCAGGACTCAGGGCAGGACTCAGGGCAGGACTCAGGGACACAGCCAGATGTGATTAAGACAACCCGGCCTCACATTTCCAAATAGAAAACCTTTCTTCATACCAGTTTCAAGACCAGCACAAGGAAATGGCATAACTGTGAGACCAGCAGCGATTTCAGAATATAGAACTTCGAGGCACACCAGACGAACTGGACGTCCGCCGACGCAGTGTGCGAGGGACTTTAAACTAACTGGCTGTGGAAACAGCACCTGGAAAATATTCCTCTAATTTGCATACAACTGCAAGGAATTGATCTGGCTTCACCTTGGCCCTTGAGAACCTACTTGGGAGGCCCAGGGATGCAGCAGAGTTGGCTGGAAGTAAGTGAAGAGGAAATGAGGAAAGAACATAAGCCAGGTGTGGTGGCCCATGCTCATGATCCCAGCACTCAGGAGGCTGAGGCAGGAGAATGGCCATAAGTTTGAGGCCAACCTGAGCTACATAGTGAGTCCAAAGCCAGCCTGAACTACATAACAAGACCCTGTCTCAAAAAAGAAGGAAAATAAAGTTCAGATGGGGGCTGGGGTCACATTGAGGGGCAGAGCTTGAGTTCATGCTGGAGGCCCCAGTTCCATCCCTGGCACTAAATAAGTAAAGAAATGCATGCGATGGAGGAGCCAGGTGAAGCCAAGAAACACTCGCTCTTCTAGTAATGTCTAAAGCTCAGAGGAGCTGTCAGCTGCATGCACTGGAATTAGGACAGGGCTGGGGGTAGCTCAGTTGGTAAAGCACTCCTCTAGCTCGTCCAAGGTCCCAAGTTCAAAGGTAGAATTATAACAAACTGCAAAGAGGAAAATACAAACTGCAATTCGGAAATGAAATAGAAGCCAGGTGTAGTGACGCACACCTATAATCCCAGCATGTGGGAGGCTGAGGCAGGAGGATTGCTCCAAGTTCCAGGCCTGCCTGAGCTATGTAACCAGACCCTGTCTCAAAAAACAAAAACAAACAAGAGAGCTAGAGTATAAGTGGGGATTTCGTGTAACTAAAAGTGGCCACGTGTAGCAGGAAACCTAGGAGACACAGGTCTGCACCGGAGCTGCCTGGTCTCCTGAGACCACCGTCCTGGGGTGAAGGTCCTCCACTTGCCCTCTCCACCCTGTGGCGATGAAACCAGCCTGGCCCCCAGGCCCCTCTTACTTGTGATGACTGTCCAGGTCCTTCGTCTCAGTTCCAGTGGCCGCCATCTCGAGCCAGGCAGGACCTAGGGAAAAGGCAGCCTCAGGACACAGTGGACCTGTATGGACCCAACATGAGGCGTCACCCCAATGTCCTGTAGAGGATGCAGATGTGCAGTGTGTGTGGGGCAGCTGCTAAAGTCACAGGAGAGCTGGCACAGATGTTCCAGAAACCCACAGCTTCTGTGGAGAACTTGTCCCCCTCCTGGCTTCCTGATGACAATGACACTGCAACCCCAACCCGACAGCAGAAACCGGGCTCCCCTCTTCCGGGCTCCCAGGAGGGCAGGGGAAGGGAGGGGCAGGTTAAGACAGAACAAAAGAAGAGAGCACCCTGGGGGGGGGGGGTTGTGAGTGGGGATGAAACCCAGGACCTTCACACTGAGCTACATCCCCAGCCCTTTCTCACTTTTTTATTTTGAGACTATGTTCGACCTTGCTATCCTCCTGCCTCAGCCTCTCAGGGTACCTAGCCAAGGGCAAGAGAGGTCCTGGGGCTGGTGGGACTCAGCAGCAGACACCTCCCTACAAAGAGTGCAAAGGCCTCTATGCACAGCTGAAGTCGTTTTATTGGTGGTCAGGAGGCAAAGTCTGCCCCCCCACCCCCGACTACTCCACTGTGGGACAAACGCAGCTTTGCCCCAGTGTTAAAGGACAGCCGAGTTAGGGAGGAATATTCTAGGCAGTCAGACAGGGCCGGGCCCTCGGGGAAGTCAGCGCAGAGGATGAAAACGCATCGAATCTGTTGCTGGAGGCGCATCAGGTGGAGGCCAGGCCTTGAGATAAAGACAGAATGACCAGGCTGATGTGCCTCCCCGAGGGATAACTGGCATCAGCGGGTCCCCTACAGTCCGGCTAGACAAGTCACCCTGGTGGGTGACCAGGACCTCCTGATCCACCCCTTCCTAAGAAGGTCCTTGTTCTTTCCATGTACACTTGCTACGTGACCTGCTTTCCCATTGGATCAACATCACCTGAGCGGCTATACTTTAATCTTATTGGTTGGTCAGTTTTTTTTTTCTTAAAGTAGGAAAATTTATTGGAGAATAGGAATGGGGAGTAGGAATAGCTCCTAGAGACTGGAGGGGTCCCAAATGGGTTGCCAGTGAGTCCATTTTTCTAAGAAAGTTTTACAGAGTAAAGTCTCGCAGGGTAGGTACAACGTGGGTCAAATCACAATCAACCAATGCAATCACAATTGCAGCCACTTAGCTAATATTGATCCAGCAGTAGCAAGGGTGTTCGGGTGACATCTGTAACCTTGGTTGATAACCCATAGTCTTAGTTTTAGGGTTGATCATAGATTTGACTCATGGTGTACCCTCCTGATTTTGCTCTGTAAAGCTTCCTTTGAGAGATGGGCTCATTGGCAACCCACTTTCAGGTCCCCTCCTGTCTCACAGGAGCTCTCTCTCTCTCTCTGTTTCCCTACTGTACAAGGCCGCTGTTCCTTAGATTCATTCTTTGATGTTGGGGAACATGAAGTGGGTGCATCGGACAACTGGCAGGTCAGGAGTTACATCTGTTTCCCCTACATCAACAGCACCGTGGAGGCGAAGTTCACATTTTGAACTCAGCTGATAAAGCAAAGTTCGTGGACTTTTCTAATCACTGCTCTTAAATAATTTTACTGAATTACAATTATTGTGGTTCCTGGACGTTTTTCTTCCAACAGGTAATATGTACCAGATATATTTGATTTTACACAAGGATTGCCAAATCCTCCTCCTCTCCATCTCCGCAGCCTTCAACTTCTGGCATGCTGCGAGGCTGGGGAGAACCCCACTGACTCACCCGCTGCTGTCCATAGAATGGGGGCCAGGGCCACCCATTCCCGAGAATCATTTACCAAGCCTCGGACTCTGCACATTTCCCTGCTCCTGTCCTGGGGAAGAAGGGCCTGGATGCTCGAGAACAACGTTAGCAGCTGGCTAGCACCTCCTGGCACTGTCCCCCGTGCTGTGCTTTCTTCTCGTGCAGTTTAACAAATTCAAACGCCTGTGGACAATCAGTGAAAGTCCCAGGCCGGCCTGAATCACGTGGCGAGACTCTGTCTCAAAAAGCAAGTGTACGTCTTTCCCCTATTAATGTGCAAGGGTTTATTTACTGTGGACCCTGAGGGGCACAGGAAGTCAGGATTTTACACAGAGAAGCTGCGAGGGACCCAGCCAGCCCGGGTTCTGGTGCAGAGCAAGCCCAGCAAGGCCAGAGCTCAGGCCTGCACAGGGTAGCTGAGGACAGAGACAGGCCCAGAGGCTTCATCCCTGAGGCGGGGAGGAAATAGAGATCAAAAGAGAGAAGGAAAATCATTCAACAGGAAAACTGCAGCTGCAGGCTTTCTTTTCTCTGGCAACAAAACACAACCAGCCTGGGCAATTTGCTTTCACCTGCAAATCAGTTCCATCTTTCCCTTTTACTTGGAAATAGACTTCACCTGTACTCTAGGCTCTGCCCTAGGAATGGGCCATTGTCTTCGGCAGGTGGGGCAGGTGGGGCAGGTGGGACACCCTCCCCACGAAGCCAACTACAGACTGGCAGATTCCACAGATTCCCACTGCCAAAAGCCTACATTTTCCCAGTTCCAAATAGAAGTCTCTGTCCTGTCTCTGTCTGTCTGTCTGGCCTGCACATTGCATGTGTGCATACTTCTCACATTTCTGCCGAATACACCTTTTGTGCCTCTTCCTGAAATGCGCTAAGAATTCCACTACGACTCCAGCACATGGTGCCTGTGGGAGTCACCCTGAGGGAGAAAAGAAACGTGGGAGCCTCCACAAAGCAGGGTGAGTCAGAAGAGAAACCTCTGGGAGAAGAGGGATGGGGAAGGGCTGGACACAGACCTCAGGGGCTATCGCTAACCGTCTATGATCTGGAGCCAGGGTTTCAACAGCAGAAGAATCTGGGTCATCCGGTCAGAGATGTCACAAGCTCATCACCCCCTGCATGAACGACCCCCCCAACACATGTCCCTCATCATCCAACCAATGGGCAGCTCCCGCTCCTTCTCTAAGCTCCAGTCTCCCGGAGGCAGACCTGAGCTGCAGCTCCTGGGCTTCTCCCTGTGTCTTCAGCAAAGCCTGCTGGCCTGGGCTTCCCTGAACGTCAGCTGCACACCCTTGCTGGGTAACAGTGAATGAACAGAGCCCGAGGGAATCAGAGTCCAGGGAGCCAGCAGTTAAGAGCATCCAGGACTAGGACTGCAGAGGACCCTAGGAAAGCAACCAGAGCCCGGTCCTGACGCTGCAGGACACCGGCTTAGAAGCCAGCTCGGGTGGACAGCAGCTCTGGGACGCCAGGAGGCCGGGCCAGGATCTGCTCTCGCCCTGGGACTGGGGGCTGTTCCTGGGTCACCTCCTGAAGCCTAGCCACTTCCTCAGGGGGTGAACCCTGGCCTTAGCACTTCAGGGTGCCCAGCTTCCCCGCTGTGCCAGACCCTACTTACTGAGCTTTTCTTCACGTTTTAACCCATTAGATTAAGATCAGATAGGCCGTTTAGTTGCCTTGGTAGTATAATAAGCACTATTTTACATTCAGTAAACATAATGAAAACGTGCACATTGATGAAAAGCCAAAGTATAGGGGAAAACCGAATGGATTCTTTTCAGATAAAACCAGACAAAGCTCACCAGTGTCTCGACCCAAGCGTCTAATTCGAGCCCAATAAGCCCGCGCTGAGCAGGAGATGCTGCACGCTGCAGGCCACGCGGGGGGAAAGAAGGTCCATTTGGCCTCCGAAAAAAGGTAAGAAACGAGGGAAGGTTGGCTGAGAAGCAGGGAGGCCTGGGCCAAACGCAGGCTCCACACAAAGTGCACAAACTAAAAGGCAGGACAGACAGACCAAGCCCGCTGGCCGCACGGCCTGAGTTCGACACATTCCTTCTATTCAAGGGCGTCCGGGCTTTCAGGGAGAAGTTACAGCAAATGGATGGGACGAGTGGCCTCGCTGAGCCGGAGGACCCCGCAGGGGGAAGCGAGGCGGGCGAGGACGGCCGCGGGAGGGTGGAGGACAGGGCAGGGCAGAGCCGGCACCCGGCGCCAGGAGCCCGGACTCCGAGGCAGCAGGCGGCGGGAGGGAGCCGGGCCGCCGGCCGGCAGGGAAAGGCACAGACCCGGGACAGCCAGCGGGGCCCCCGCCAGGTCTGCACCCCGCCACACGGACAGCCGCTGAGGGATGCGCTCCCGGCCGGGGGACCCGCGGCCCTCAACGCGGAATCACCGTCGCGTTTCGCCCGCGACCCTTGGGCCAACACGGAGTCAGTGCCTGCGTGAGTCCCCCGGAGCGGAGGTTCGTGTGCAACCGGCGAAGAACCTGAAACCGCCGCCCGGAAAGGTGGCGGGGACAGAGCATCGGCCCGCAGTGGCTTCACTGAGGCTCCACGCGCGCCCCAGCTCCGGGCAACAAGACCGAGGCCGGGCGAGCCAGGGCCCCGCACAGCCCCGCCGCGCCCCACTCACCCTCCCGACGCTGGCGACGAGGGCTTCCCTCCGGGCCGAGCACGGGGTAGCGCGGCAGCCGACGCCCGACCCGGGCCGGGGTCAAATCTCGGCCGCGCGCCGCGCCCCGCCCCGCTCCGCCCCCTGCAGGACACGCCCCGCCCCGCCCCAGGGTTTCCCGCCCAGCCCCGCCCAGCCCCGCCCCTGCAGGACACTCCCCGCGCAGACCGGGAAGTCTATCCCGCTAGCGCGCCGCCTTGCCTGGGGTAACCCGGAGCCCGCCTTGGGACCCCCTAAGCCACTGCTGTCCCCCCGTGGTCCTACCTGCCCTGCGGCACCGGATACTAGGGTGGCAGAGGCTCTGGACGGCCAAGGTCACAGCGTCGGCCTGAGGCGGTGGGGGGTCCCTGCCCCGGCTCTCATACCAGGGAAGTGTGCCGCGCCACCGCCCAGCGGGCGGCTGTCAGAAGGTGGGGCTGGCCGCGGTCGGCGGTGTCACCGGGGCCTCTGTGCCCGCTTCCGGCTTTTTCTGGGACCTTCCTGATCCTGGGAGTGCCCGTCTTAGGGGAGAGCCAGACAGAGCTGCCCCGGCCGGGGAAGTGACTCAGACACAGTTAATCGAGCCAGACTAGCTCATGCCCTGACACTCGGGTACCGGATGCCGGATGCTGCCCCACAGTCGCCTTTGCTTCCCTAAGTGGCCCCTGGGGACAGACAGGCAGGGCTGAAGGAGACCCAGATGTCCTCCCTGACGGCCCCCAGAAGCCGGGTTCCTGGGAAGCTGAGTCACCCTGGCCTGTGCCCCTCCTCCTGGGGAAACTGAGGACTTTTCCCGCCAGTTCTAAGAAGCTGTAAGCAAGCCCAGAAATCAAATGAGCACCAGAGGCTCCTTTGTCACGTTACCTTTGCAGACAGGACAGACTGGGGACAAAATCGTATCCCATCTCTGAGCCTCTCTGTGTCACTGTGTCTGCCACCCAGCTCAGCTCACCCAGGGCCGCCTCAGCGGCAGCCAGGAAGAAACCAAGCACCAGCAGGCACATCCCTGGGCTGGGCACACTTTCAGCCAGCTGTGACACTGGCCCGGGCCGGGGGTGGGGCTCGGGAAGACCGGGACTCTCTAGGAAATGACAGGACCTGGAGGGAGCTCACGCTGAGGGAGATCCTCCTAGCTGGTGGGAGTTGCTTCTCCCCCGTGCAGCCTCACCCCAATTCCTGGTGCCAGCTGCCCGCCCCCGCCATGCATCCAGGGACTGTGTGGCTTTCTAGAGGCCCCTGGAGAGGCAGGCACCCCAGGTACAAGGTTTCCAGAACACCCTTCACTGCGGGGACACGAGAACACTGGGTCCCTCTGAGGCAGTGGAGCCACAGCTGCATTGCTATGGTCAACAGAAGCCAGGGGAGTGGGCAGCTCCATCCACTTTGGAAGGGCATGGTGTCCCTTTCTTTGTCCCACACGGAGTCACTCAGGGGCACAACCCTGGGACCTGTGGCACACCGATATGGTATGGAATTCCCTGGCCACCTGTCCCTGACAATGGTTCACCCTGAGGTGGGATCCGAGGAAGTGGAGGATCCTGAGATTAGGGCTGCGCATTTGAATTTGCAGGAGAAAGGAATGGGAAGAGCAGCTTCTCACTGGTGTAGGTAGCTGTCAGGCTGATTGATAGGCTGTTAAAAAGGGACCAGGCCCAAGATGGTCAGAAGAGAGATGAGGCAACCCCACCTGTGGTGGAAGAGGAGCTGATAGGAACCTGGACCCAAGATGGAGACAGGATGGCTAGGCCCAGGGCTCCCCAGACATAAATGTCAGTCCAAAGCTGTCCTGTAACTAGATCATCTGGCCCAGCAGCCTCAACAATGCAACAAATATGCAGAAACAATGTAACAGAGAAACGATGTAGCAAACACAGAAACACTGTAGCAAACACAGAGAAACAATGTAACAAATAGTAGAAACAAGGTTACAAACACCTAGATGAATGACCAGTACACTCTGCACCCTTCCTCTGACCCCTTCCCGAAAAGCCTTTGTTCCTCTCAGTGCTGTGCCCCCTTGGAGCAGGATTTAAAGAAAAACAAGTCCTTCCCAAATGTGAGCAGTTCTACCCATCTCCCTTGTAGCTATAACTCCTTGTTCTGGTACAGATAAAATCGACAACTATATCCTGTAAACAAAGTCCTCATATGATTCATAAGGCACTGTCTTTTTTCAAGGCAAAGTTATAAAACTGTCTGCCATTGACCTGTTCCAGTAAACTCACTTGCTACGTTACTAGAAAAAATTTTAAAAACCACCCCCTTGGACAAAAGGTATAAAAGCTGGAGCTTCTCTTTGTTCAGTGCTCTTTCTTTGGACAGGAGTCCGTTGAGCGTACACTTAAACCTGAAATCAAGTCCTCCTGTTTCAGTCTGTGGGTCTCTGCAGTCTCTTAGTTTCCCGAAACACCCTTGCTGCACACCCTGTGTTTCTATTAGATCAGTGTTAGCTAAGCGACTGTACCTGGAATCCTACATGGTGATTTTAGTTTGACCCGAGGCAATTTTACTGTAGCCAAAGAACCTCAGTGGGAGCCCACTTTTGCAACCCCTTCTGTCTCTCAGGAGCTTTCTCATAATAAATCTTTCCCCTTCTTCACCTCCTTTGCCCTTGAGTCCATTCTGCAAACTTGGCGTGTCTAACAGGTTGGGAGTCACTTCCCTATAATGTCACCCTCTACCCTCCTGTTTACACAAGAGTAGCAGGCAGGGGACTATGCACAGGTACCACAGTCCGGGAGTCGGCGGGTGCCCCCTGCTGGCAAGGTGTGGCATTTCTCTGGCAGGTCCTCCAGGGAGCTGTCAGCTAGGAAGCTGCATGCACCCACACCCCCACCTCAGCCCTTCCTGGAGCACAGCTCTATTCAAACCCTGGTTTTCCATACGCTTTTCTATCTGAGGGTTTTCATTCTAAACACCATCTCAAGGCGGGGATTCTGGCACATCCCTGTGAACCCAGCACTCTGGGAGGCTGAGCCGGGAGGATTGCAAGTTCAAATACATCTTAGGCAATTTAACAAGACTCTATCTCAACGTTTTAAAATATTTTTTAAAGGGGGATATAGCTCAGTGCAAAGGCCCTGAGTCGCGTCACCAATGCCAGAAAAACATGAGTAAACACTATTCCAGCCTCCAATTCTTCACACATTCCACCCAAGAGTGAGGAAACTGCGTTTCAGATCAGGGCTCAGCCCGGGTAGATGGCCCGGGTGTCCTTGGCCAGGCTGCATGCTGGTGACTGGTGACTCTACCGAGGCTAGTCTGAGCTCAGCCTGTTTGTCCCCGAGGAGCGGGGAACAAGGCAGTTCCGCAAGTTCAGCTGTCAGACAAAGCGTGGTATCGTAAGTGGGTTCCTGTTCTTCAGCTTCCCTCCCCCCATAGAGCCATTCAGTACCGAAAGTCCTCCTCAGTGCTGCTTTAAAAAAAAAAAAAAAAAAAAGAAGAAGAAGTAGATTATATGGAGCCGGGGATTTAGCTCAGTGGTTCCAGTGCCTGCGTGGAAAGCGCAAGGTCCAGAGTTAGATCCTCGGTACAAAAAAAAAAAAAGGACAATAGATTAAAGTGGGGTTCGCTTCATGTTGTGAGTGTTGGAAACCAGAATAGGAGAAGTAATTGTTGGGAAGTTGCCAGGCACTCAGGAGAGCCTCCGGGTGCTCTGGACCCGCTCCTTTCGGCTGTCCCCACGCTCCGCCCATCAGCTCCTGCCCCAGGCCTCTGGGGCTGAGGTGCGGGAGGTCACCGCTAGGGGGCGCTCCCTGCCCGCGGTAACAGGCGGTAACGCTCCACCCAATTCCAGCCCATTCCCAGTTTTGGTTTTTTAAATCGAATTTCCGTTGCCACAATCGTAGACTCTGAAGTTGTATAGAACTGTGTTTTCTGTTGTTTTTTATTTTTGTGGTTGGTTTTCTTTTTTTTTTTTTTTTTGGTACCGGGGATCAAACTCAGGACCTTGAGCTTGTGAGGCAAGCACAGTGCCACCGAGCTAAATCCCGGTCCTCAATTCACATTTCTCTGATGACATGTAATATAACCTGCTCACATCTGTATGTCCCTCAGAACATCTTCTTTGATGTAGTATCTGTTAAGGTCATTCTTATATTGGGTTGTTTGTTTCCGTCTATTGGCTTTTAAGAACTCCTTGTGTGTTTAGGATGTCACTCCTTTCTTAAATATTTCTTCTGCACATATTTTCTCCTACTACATGTTTTCTCTTTTCACTCCCGAGAAAGTCTTTAATGGAGCAGAAATGTGTGATTTCTGTGAAGCCCCAGCTGACCGATTCTGTCCCTCATGGGCCATGTCCTTGGTGTTGGGACTAAAATGTTGTCACCAAACTCAAGATCTCCCAGATTTTCTTCTGAGTCATCTTCCAGAGTTGTGTAATTTTACATTTTACTGCAACCCTTTCTGAGTAAATGGCTGTCAACAGTGTTTGTGTCTAGATTTTCTTTCTTGCTTGTGAATGTTGATTATTACAGCACAATTGTTGGAAAGACTGCTTTCTTCAGTGACCTCTTCTCCAGTGTCAAGGACCAGTTGTTTGTATTTACATGGGTCTATTTACAGGCACTCTGGGCTACTGTACTGTTTTGTTTTCCTTTACCGATAACACGATGTCATGACTGCTGCCTCGTCACAGTGAATCTCAGAGTTGGGCCTTGTGGCTCCTGTACCTCTGGTTTTCTCCCTTTCAGAACACTTTGCTTCTCATTAATCACTTTGGCAATGTCCACGAAACAACTTGCTGGAATATCACTGCGATTTCATTGGATCTATAGATCAAATTGAGAAAAACTGACATCCTGACACTATTTTCTACCAACACTTCTTATCTCTGAACGTGGAATCTCTTTCCATTTATTTAGTTCCACTTCGATTTCTCTCATCATTGTTTTCCTCATGTGATTCTGTACATGTTTTGTTAAACTTACACCTATTTCATTTTTAGGCAGCTACTGTATACAATATTGTGGTTAAATTCCAAATTCTACTTGTTTGTTTTTGGTATATAGGCAAGTATATTTATTAGCTTTGTATTTATACAAATATATATTAACTTTGTATTTTTGTGTATTAGTAGCTTTGTACTCTGCAGTCTTGCTATAACTGGTTACTAATTCTAAGAACTTTCTTTCTTTCTTTCTTTCTTTGTCAATTCTTTGATTTTCTACATAGACTATCATGTCACCTGGGAATGATATTTTTCTTCCTTCTCCTTATCTATCCTTATCTATCCTTATCTCCTTATCTATTCAGGCTGTTTTCACAAATTTCATGAAGTGGTAGCTTACAGGCATCCACAGTTTATTTCTTCAGCTCCGGAGCATGAAAGTCCCAGGCATGGTTTGGGGTGCACCTTCCGGTTCATGGAGCCTCCTGGCTGAGTTCTCCTGGGCTGGGACACAGGAGACGGCTCCCCGGGGTCTCTTCATAGACTGGAACCCCATCCAGGACACGCTGCCCCCTCACTTCCCAGAGGCCCTGCCTCCTAATGCCATCATGGGGGGCCCAGCTTCCATAGATGGGTTTTGGGCAAGGACACAGACATGCAGACCATGGCACTGCCCCATCTCCATACTGTTTATTTCTTATCTTATTTCGTTCATTAGGACTTCCAGATGGTGCTGAAAGGAGCAATAAAAGGGGACATCCTTGCTTCATTGCTGGTCTTGGCGGGAGAGCTTCAATCTCATCATTAGGTATTATGTTGGCTTGAAATTTTTTGTAGATGTTCTCTTTTGAAAACAAAATATTTTTTGTTCTGTATCTTTCTCCTCTTGTAATGTCTGTGTCTATTCAGGCCTTAGTCCTCAGGAATAAGTCGGGAATGACCCCCTGCTCCTGCCGCTGGAAGCAGTCAGTCCTGGGAACCCACGAGTCTCCCTGCGGCTTGAGGGAATTCACTGGTGGAGCCCACGGCCTTTCTGCTGCTCTGTAACACACAGTTAGGACATCTCTGAATACCCCGGAGTGGAGCCCGGGAGCCCTCAGTGCAGGGTGTGGAGAACTCACCTCTGGCTGTTCCAGCTGCTTCTGCCCAACCTGGAGTTTGCTTTCTTCCTGTTTGTACCAGGCTGGCTGTGGGCTCAGCTGTGCTTCTCCTCAAAGCCTCTCCCTCAGCCCCTTTCCTCCTCTTCTGCTCTGCTCCCTGGGGGCTCTGGGCTGTCTTATCCCCATTTCTCTTGAAGGAAATGGGGTTCCCCGCTTTGCCCTAAGCTAATTAAGGGGTGTGGTGAGCTAAGGGGGCTGAATGCCTTCTACAGAAATGTCAGACTTCTCCAAGGGAGTGAGAGTGTGTGTGTGTTACACACACATGAAAATGTGCCCATGTAGGCAGAAAGCCATAGAGCTAATTTTTTTTTCAGGTCTGGGGATCAAACTCAGGACCTTGCACTTGTGAGGCAGGTACGGTGCCACTAAGCTAAATCCCCAGCCCCTATTTTTTATTTAATTTATTTTTATTTTTTGGTATCGGAGATCGAACACAGGACCTTGCACTTGGGAGGCAGGCAGAGGCACCACTGAGCTAAATCCCAGGGCCAGCCTCTATTTTAAAAAAAAATTTGCTGCTCTTAACAGACAATTTATATTTAGTATGATCTTGCACTGTGTTTACTTTTTAGAACTAAGTTACTTATTTCGAAACAAAATGGATGGAATGGTAAGTTTTCTGTTTTCATAGTATCTTTGTTGCATTTTACCAACCAGAAAATTAAGGACAGGACGGATTTCTTTCAATAACAGACCCTGGCTACAGGAGGTGAAGCCAAGATTTGATCACAGATTCTTACTATAAAGTTTGTCCTCCTTCTCATAAGCCACAGGTTTCTGTTACTAAAATAACCTTAAAAAAAAGAATTAAAGAGTTCTACATTATTGTTATAAATTCCTCATGAATATTTCATTAAGATGGGATTGTTGGCAGATGAGGTAGGACTTAGGCAGAGGAAGGAAGACCAGGGAAAGGGAGAAAAGAGAGGAGGAAACTTATTGTATGGGTGTATTGTTTTTATTCAATACAGGCAGCCATTCCAATTAATTACATATTGCATTCATCTCCCATAATAGTCTAGGTATAATTAAACAATATATTATAAATGCTCGGTTAAGTATCTCAGTTAAAGAACTAATTTGGAACCTAAACTTTAGTTGAGTGTGTGCATGATAAAGTTAAGAAGATAAAATATCTGCGGTCATATTTGTCTTCCTAAAAACTTCCTTATTAAAAATTATTATTTTGTCAATGAATTAAACATATAAAATATAAAACTACATGTGAGGCAAAGTACTTATAGAGAAACTATAATAACCTTTATAAAATAAGAGCATTTAGACTGATTATTAAAAACTTTTTGAAAAGCCTACTAAATTAAGTACTAAAAATAAATGTATATTTACTGAAAAGACACAAAATAAGTGTTTAATCATCTGGATTTTAAAAAGTATTAGCAAAAAATTTAAAACTAGCAAATGTTACAATGTTTTATTGTATATTCAATGTTTAAACTTCAAGTCATAATAAAATCTTTTTTTAATATAAATGGTATCCCTATATTCTAAAATTGATTACTTTTTTGTAACAGAAAAAATTATTTCTGCAAAGATTACAGGACCAAGTGACGGAAGAGGCTTGAAGCTTGCTCGGGTTTCTTCTGGTTCAGAGTCTAAGGCTGAGGCGCCCCGGGAGCTGCTGAAGTGGGAAATGGGGAGGAAGGGACCTGGAGCCCGGCCAGGTGACCTCACCGGCCACTGAGCAAAGGGTGGCCAAGCCATGGTTGTTCAGTGCCTCAGAGAGAAATGCGAGAACGAGGAGCCAGCACTGTGGACACCCGCGTGGTGACGCTATCGAAGCTGCCGCAATCGAAGCTGCCGCAAGAGCGCTGTCCTCCACAGTGTCCTTTCGTGAGACACAGCAGGAGCCTTGGGGACGCAGCAGGGACAAGAGTGTCCCTCAGCTCGCAGGCGACTCCAGGGGACGCGGCCCCAAACATCTGCCCAATCTACTTGAGCTCCGCTGGTGTCGATGCGGGGGGAGATGTCACTGGGTCTGCAATGACAGGAAGTACATGGCTTGACAGCAGACAGATGAAGGCGGCTTTTCTCTACCTGCCACAAGACTGACCTGTTCATCTCCCATAAAAGAAAGCACATATTTCTGCCCCTGTTCTTAGGATGAAACCTAACATCTACATCGAAACTGAGCATCCACCTGGGTGTGGTGGTACACACCTGTAACCTCAATACTCTGGAGGCTGAGGCAGGAGGACTGCAAGTTGGAGGACAGCCTGGGTAAGTTTGTGCTTTGGTGAGACCCTGTATCAAAGCTAAAAATAATAATAATTTTTTTTAAAAGGAGACTGAGGCTGTAGCTCAGTGTAAACGCCCTAAGTTTAATCTCAGTATTGAAAAGAAAAAAAAGATAGGCGTCCAGTCGTACCTCCCAGCACACATCCTTTGTGGGAGACAGCATGCCCAGGCTCGGCACGAGGAGGAAGGAGAGTGTGCCCTATGAGGACACTCATGTCCCTGAGCCGCGCTGTCCTATGTGACAAGGACGCTGATCTGAAAGATCAAGATCCGAGCTTGCGTGAGCACAGCCTGAGGGCAACTTGGCCTGAGCCTGGTGCCCTCCCAGCTGAGCAGGGACTCGGGTGCATCTGTCACTGTGCCCCAGCCCTGCCACGCGTCCTGGGGCCCTCGGTCGGGTACAAAACAGAAGCCCCGACCTAATGGCCAGGGCCCGGCTCACTGCCCCATCTAGGAGACCCGTGCAGCACGGTAGTCCAATGACAATGGTCCTGCTGTCCTGAAAGGAATGAGGCCTTCAGATAGCTGGACCCCAGGAAGTCGCAGACAGCTCCAGGAGGACGGTTTTCACCGCAGCAGAAAAAAGGCTCCACCTGGCTTGGCCACTGCTGTTTATAAAGTTTAAACTCCATGCCGCGAAGAAAACAGGAAACAGGGCCAGGGATTTAGCTCAGTGGTGCCACTGCCTGCCTCTCAAGTGCAAGGTCCCAAGTTCGATCCCTGGTACCAAAAATAATTAATTAATTAATTAATTAAGCTCCTAACAAGGCATTGTTCAGAACTCAGACAGTTTGCTCCAAACTTTACTGCAAGTAAGGCTGGGAAAATATTTCTACTCCTCTAGCAAGAAGAATAGATTATAGAAAGCATGGTGTATGTCATCTCTGCCACAATTTCTAATCTTAGTAATACAATGATATATATACATTTAAATACTGTGATGTACTGAAAACTAGTTAGAGTAGATAACTAAATACTGAGTTTTAGTTTTTCTAGCCACAGGCTTTCACTTTGGAAAACTTATCTCCTTGCTGTGAACATCAATTTATCTTCTATATTTAATTTGAGGATTAAAATTCATGATGTATGAAAGTGAGTTGTATTTAAAGCATAATAGTAATTAGAATTTCATAATTCTTGTTCATAGTATAATTACATTTACATATTAAAAATGTATAATCCTTTCTAAAATAAAGCAAATTATCTTGCATAAGGAATGTTTTATGTTAATTTTTGTCCTTTTGGTGCTGTTTTATTAGGCTCTGTTTCCTTTAATAAAAATTTGTCATACTCCTAACAAAAAAACAGATCCTAAAAAAGACCAGTCTGAGCCCACAGCTAGCAGAAGTAAGGAAATAATGATCCAACAGGAATAAATAAAATATAGACCAAAAAAAAAAAAATAGAAAAGATCAAATTGACAAAACTAAGAGCTGTTTTTTTTTAAAGAAACAAAATCGGCAAATATTCTCCTTATACTGAGGGAGAAAATAAAGACACAAGACATTACACTGACAACAGAGAAATGCAAAGGATTTTAAGAAACTAGGTATGAACAATCATACACCAGCAAATTGGCTAAGCTAGAAGAAATGGAGGAATTCCTGCAAACATACAACCCGTCAAGGCTGAATCATGAAGAAATGAACCCTGAACAGATCAGCAATGAGTCGGGAGACAGAAAAACAAGTCTCCTTCACACAAAAGCCCAAGACTGGACAGCTTCACCGTGGACAGGATCAAACAGTAGAGAGGCACTGCTACCAATTCTTTGCAAACTCTTCCCACAAACGCTTCCAAACCCTTTGTAGGAGGCCAACATGACCCTCATCCTAAAGCCAGACAAGGGCATTACAAGAAAAGAAAATTGTAGGCCAACTTACCTGATGAACATATAGACAAAAAAATCCTCATCAAATTACCATTAAACCCAACTCAAAAACACATTAAAGGGATCAGACACCCTGACCCAGTGGGATTTATCCCTGGTGTGCAAAAATGATTTTACACACACAAATCAATAAATGTGATTACCACATTAACAGGACAAAGGACAAAAACTATATAAAATATGTAGATGAATATTTTTTCTTTTTTTTCTTTTCTTTTCTTTTCTTTTCTTTTCTTTTCTTTTCTTTTTTCTTTTCTTTTTTTTTCTTTTTGGTACCGGCGATCAAACTCAGGACCTTGTGCTTGCGAGGCAGGTGGCAGAACCACTGAGCTAAATCCCTGGCCCAGTAGATGAATATTTAATCGCCTCAAAAATTCAACATCACCTCCTGATGGAAGTTGTTGGAAGTGTTTCCGTTTCCAGTGTGATCAGGAAGGGTGAGTACCCACTCTCGCTGCATCTGTTTAGTACAGTACTGCTCATCTTAGCCAGATCAATTAGGCAAGAAAAGGAAATAAAAGTCGTCCACATTAGGGAGGAATAGTTACATTGTCTCTGCAGACAACATAACCTTGTTCATAGAAAACCCCAAGAACTGCATCCAAAAACTGTTAGTCCTGATCAAAAAACACAGTAAAACCACAGAAGACAAATCAACACGCAGAAATCAGTACCATTCTGTACATCAGCAATGAGCTATGCAAAGAGAAGTGAACGAAACAATTACCACGGGACAGGGACATGGCGGGCATGGGGGGGGCACCTCACCGCCAGCCTCCTCAGAGACTCCCGGAGCCTCTGTGTCCTGTGGCAATGCTGTGTCCTGGGGTCCCTTGGGGTCCTGCGTGGACTGGGACGACACCGACGCCCTGGACGTCCTCCGGGTCCTCTTCTCGGAGTCCACTGGCTGCTGCTGCTGCAGCCACTCGTCCTTGTAACCGTTGCTGATGAGCTTGGAGAAGTTTGTTGGAGAACTGGCTTTCTGACCAGGCCTCAAAAAGAGAAAGAGGAACTCTCAGCCTCAGTGCAAAGGCCCATGGGAAAGCAGGGCCAGGGCCTGGGGCATAAGTATCTCATCAGGACCTGGCTGCCTTTTAAAGGGAGGGAGGAAGCTCTTTTGTGTCCTCTCCCTCCCTTTTTCTCTTTTGTCACTGCGAACTGAACCAGGGCCTCTGCACTGAGCCACATCCCCCCTGCCCTGTTTATTTTTTATTTCAAGATAGAGTCTTGCTAAGTAGCCCTGGCGAACTCAAATTTGCAAGCCTCCTGCCTCAGCCTCCTGCAGTGCTGGGACTACAAAGCATCCCTAATACATGGCTGAGAGTAGTTTAGTCTGGTTTCCAAGACCTTTCTCCAGCCAGGCCAACTGAACCAGTGGTCATTCTACTTCCTCCACGGAAGCCTTCCTCAAAGTCCCCTCCTCACCCTCCTGACGCCCATGCGAGCAGCAGGAACTCCTACTTCTTGTCCCCTCTGGCCTCAGGTTTCTGACTTCTTAGGGCTGCTCTCTTGTTTTTGTTTGTTTTATTTGAGACAGGCGCTCACTGTGTAGCCCAGACTGGCCTTAGACTTGCAGCGATCCTCCTGCCTCAGCCTCCTGAGTGCTAGGATCACAGGTGTGTGCCATAAGGTGTTCCTAATGGCTTCCCTCTCTGCCTCCTCTCCCTCCCTCCAATCTGAGCTGGGACTGTCATGGTGTCATGGACGACATAACCATCTCCCTCACCCCCTTGCATGAGAAACTATCTTGAGAGTTAGGCCAACAAAGTTAGGAGACACAAGAGGCCTCTAGGATTTCACTGTCAGGCACCTGACATGCCCTGACATCCCCACCGGCTGAGCACAGACACAGGCACAATCCGGGGTTCAGGGCCGGTGACAGAAAACGTCAGGCCCGGGCAGCAGGACCATGCTAGACCAGTGGCCGGAAGCAGAAAGCTGCGCAGCACATGGGACACCGAATGGGAAACACATGCTCAGAGGGCAAAACCAAGGCCAGGAAGGAACACGTGCTTGGTTAGGCCAGGCGTGGTGCTGCAGCCTGTAATCTGCCATTCAGGGAGGCTGAGGCAGGAGGGTCGCAAGTTCTAGCCCAGCCTGGGCAACTTAGGGAGAGATACTGTCTCAAAATCAAAAATTAAAAAGAGTTGAGACCTAGCGCAGTGCAAAGCCCTGAGTTCCGTGCCCAGTCCACAGGCACATGGGTGAGAGCCAGGCGATCGGCCCGAGCCTCGCCAGACAGCGGCCACACACACCTGGGCACTTACATGGGGGGGAAGGACAGCCTGCTTCCCGCGGGGTCTCTGGCACCCACGGGTGTCCCCACTTTGCTGGACTGCTTTGAGGTAATGGCCGGCAGCCTCACCTGTGTGAAAAAATACAAATCCCCGGGTCACGGAAGAAAACCCCACCAGCGGCAGAGCTGTGGACTTGTGGGACAGAGGTCAGTGTGGCAGCGACTTCACTGGGTGAGGCCACAGGACACCTTCACAGCTTCCAGTCCCTCAGAGTGGCTTGGCCAGAGGGGCCAGGCATGGCTCAAAAGGAGTTGCTGTATTCAAGGGAAGATCCAAACAAGCTGTTGTGTGGAAACTCACCGTGAGTTGGAGCCCAGCCTGAGCTACACAGAGAGGCCCCGTCTCAAAAAAAAAAGATGCATTTACTCAGTAGGAAAAGGATGAAAATTTATCAATGGGAAATACTGAAGGGCCCTAGGACCACGTGAATGAAATGGTGTCCACACAAAAGCCTGCACGATGAGGAGCTCAGTGGCTTCTGTACAAACCACCAGAGCTGGAATAACCCAGACCCCCAGGCTGGGGGCAGACAGTCTGGACCTCGGTCCCCTTGAGGCTCAGCTGGAGCAGGCCACTCCCCAAAGTGAGGCTGGGTCTCAGACACCCGGGCCACAGGGCAGAAGCTGGGCCAAAGGTCAGCTGGGGCTCAACGCCACTGATTTGCCTTCTGGAAAAGGAAACCCAGGGGAGGACAGAAAACAGATCAGTGACTGCCAGGCCAGGCTTGGGGGTGGTCGACAAAAAAAAAAGCTAAGGAACCTGGAGGTTTAGGGAGCCGCACTAAGCTGGAAGCCACACAATGAATGCATGTGTCAAAGCTCATGGGACGGGCCAGGCATGGTGGAGCAGGCCTGTATTCCCAGCACTCGGGAGGCTGAGGCAGGAGGATAAAAATAGGGAGGGGTGGAGGAGTTGAAGGGAGGGCAGGGAATGGGAAAAACTAAGAACCAAGGTACACTATGTAAAGGTACGAGTTCCCAATGATAAATGTAAATATATTGTTTACCTAAAATGTACCAATTAAAGAAAAAAGAAAAGCACCAAAAAAAAAAAAAAAAATTGTGAGCCCAGCCTGAAAAACTTAACAACATAGTGGGAGACTGTCCCAAAATTTAAAAATTAAAATTAAAAATAAAAAGGGCTGGAGATGTAGCTTAGTGTGAAGGGCCCAGGGTTCCGTTCTCAATACCACAAAAATGGAGGAAGAGAGGAAGGAAGGAAGAAAGGGAATTGGGGGGGAACTCCCAGGCGAGCTCCATACCTGGAAGTGACGAGGCCACCTCATGGCCCTCTCTGTCCTTCGAGGCCCATGCCGAGCCCCCAATACGGGCCCTGCTTGCTGCTGTCACCGTAGGCGACCCGGACAGCCTGGCTCCAGGCGTCTGTGCAGCCCTGGACCCTGCGTGCAGGGTCAGTGAAGGGGCCACCCCAGCGGGTCCCGCACGGATGGGCTGCAGGGGTCCACTCTGCTCCAGCTATGCTGGACCCAGGTCAGCAGCTGTTTGGTGCTCAGGGCCCCTGAGCAGTGTCACCAGCTGCTGGCCCATCCCTGAGCAGTGGGCCCAATGCTCAAGTCTGTCTGCAGTGACCGTGAAAATGACCCAAAGCCAGGACCACAGCTGGACACAGGGGGCCCAGGTGGTCAGCTGGTGCCACTCCCTATGTCCAGAGATAAACAGAGGGTCCCTTCCACCAGGGTGACACCGAGAAGCCAGGCAGGGACAGCCAGTACCCTCACCACTTGGGTGAAGCAGTGTTTGCCCTTTGCTTGGCATCAAAATTTGTGATTTTTAACAGACTGTATCATTTCATTCACCAAGCCCCATGTCCCAAGGACTAAGATTCACTTCAGACCTGAAGCTGGAGACCCCAAGATTAGACGGGATGGGATCTCCAATCAGGAGATCCCAACAACCCATCCACCAATCAGGATTGAGCCCAAAAAATCCATCCACCAATCAAGATTGATCCCTCCCCATCAGGATTGCTCTCCAGTTCCCAGCTGCTCTTTAAAAATACAAGACCCCTAAAGGCTTCACTTACTGGCCCATCCCTCCTCTGATGTCAGATACACCTCCTGGAGTCTGTGTAGAGGAAAAGACTTCCTCTTCCCTTCCTTTATTATCAGTAAGGAGCACTCCAGGGAGATTTCATCTTAAAGACTTAAATGAAGTAGGAATGTTCGAAAGCAAGCTGGTGAATAAATATAAAATTTCCTCCCTCTCTGTACCAGATAAGAAGCACTATGCCAACTGCCCCCAAGACAGGCACTGACTGGCTAAAAACCACTTAGTAAAAAAGTAACTTTTCCTATAAAGTCAATTTCCATAAAGGAACAAAGGACACCAGGCTCTCGGCTGCTCCCCTTCTAGTCCCCTGAAACTTCAGCACAGGGCAGGTGGCGGGCACCGGGGCCGCTGTGAGACCCAGGGCCGACCTGACCTGCACCCCCTCAGCAGCCCATCCCACCATCCATGAGCTGTCACCTTCTTTTTCTCTTCAAGCTCTTCAGCCTCTCTCTGCCAGACCGACTTCATGTCGAAGTTGAAGGGTCCTCTCCTGGACTCGTAGCCCCCGTTGGCCTGGCTGGGGTGGAACTCTTCGTACACCATGTAATCTGGCATGGCGACCACTGGCACCCTGCAGGAAGATGGGGTCGCAGCCCGGCACCATTCCTCTCCCCCTGAGCCCTCTCTGCACACAAGAGCCATCTGGCTCCCAGGGACACAGGGGCTCCCCAGAGACACCCCAGCCCTCCCTCGGCCAGCTCAGAATCACAGGGCCCGTGGGCGTGCAGAAGAGGGATGGTAAGGCCCAAGCTTACACAGCGGAGAGCTCACGAAACAGCCATCCCCTGTAGACTAACATCGCTGACTTTGCCCCTTTCAAAGAGACCAACAGCTCCAATAGTCACCAGTTAACGTGATCGTTTAATGAGCTGAGCTGTTTTCTGTTACATGGTCACAGTTACTGTGGGCATTTAAACTTCCAACTGGTCTTCCCAAACGAAACCTGAGCCCCGAAAGTTCGCTTCCAGACTCTCCTGTGCTCTTTCGTTTTGTCCCATTCCTTTTCTTTACCTAGCACTAAGTACTCTGAATGTACGTGTGTGTGTGAGGTGTGTAGGTGTGTGAGCAGGTGCATGTAGGTGTGTGTGAATAAGTGTGTGAGTAGGTGCATGTAGGTGTGTAAGTACATGAAGGTGTGTGAGCAGGTGTTGTAGGTGTGTGACCAGGTGCCAGTGAAAAGGTGTGTGTAGGTGTGCATGAGCAGGTGTGTGTGTGAATAGGTGTGTGTAGGTGTGCAAGTACATGAAGGTGTGTGAGAGCAGGTGGGTATAGGTGTGTAGGTGTGCGTGAGCAGGTACATGTAAGTGTGTGAACAGGTGTGTAGGTGTGTGAATAGGTGCATGTAGGTGTGTAAGTACATGAAGGTGTGTGAGCAGGTGCCTGTAGGTGTAAGTGCGTGTGAATAGGTGTGTAAGTGTGCGTGAGCAGGTGCGTGTAGGTGTGTGAGCAGGTATGTGTAGGTGTGTAGGTATGTGTAGGTATGTGGGTGTGTGTGAACAGGTGTGTGTAGGCGTGAGCAGGTGGCTGTAGGTGTGTGAATAGATGTGTGTAGGTATGTGAGCAGGTGCGTGTAGGTGTGTGTGAGAGTGTGTGCAGTGCCAGGGACCGAACGCAGGACCTTGCACGTGTCAGGCAAGCGGAGCGCTCATCTGAGAGGACCCTAGCCCTTGGGGAAATCGAGCACTCCCCAGCCTCAGTCATGTAAGACATTGAGTGTGTTTTCTTGTTAAAAACAAAAAGCAGGAGAAGCAGAGTCCTACGGACAAGGAGCTCACAACACCGGAGAAGGGCTTGGAAAGACAGTTGCGCTGCTCCTATCTTCCAAGCAAAAACAAGAACAAAACCAGACAGCCGTGCGAAATGATCGCTCGCGTTTCTTCCGCTTGGAGGGCCAGGTCCGCGTGGCCCGCACAGGAATTCCTAGAGGCCGAAGCACCGCGGGACCCTGGCTCCCCACAGCCACATCCAGCACGGGCTCCAGGCGCTTGTTGCTCCTGCCTTCGGGTCTCCCGAGAAGACCGCCTGGGGAGCAGCCGCTGTTGCCATGGGCCTAGCCCAGGGGACAGAAATCCCGGGGTGCTCACGGCAGGTAGGCACAGCTGCACACCTCGAGGGGACACCAAGCGTTGGACTGTGTCACACCCAGCGCCGGGACCTGTCGCAGCTCGCGCTTGTGACCGGCTCAGTACCTGCGGCTGGCGTTAAAACTCAGCCTGGGATGCTGTGTGGAGGGACCAAGGCACGGGCTTTTCCGGGTACTCACGCGCGCCGGCTGGCCGTGGGCGGCTTGCTGTGGTGGATGTACCAGTCGGGCAGGGCGTGGGCCACCGGAGAGCCCTTCCTGGTCCCGGCTGCGCTGTGCTTCAGCAAATCTCGGGGGAAAGAGACACAGAGGTGCTGGGTGTGGGGCAGCCGCCCAGGCAGGAGGCTGAAGTAGGGGAGGAGCCGGGCAGGTTTCCGGGGCTGCCCATGGGCGGGGCTGCCCGGGCCAGCGACCTCTGCCCCATCTCGCTCTGCTCTGGACCTGGACAAGCCCCAGTCCTGCTCTCTGCACGCCAGCACCATCGCGTCCTGTCCTGGGGCTCAGCCCCCAGCCCTCAGCCCCCCAGGCCCTTCTCCCAGTCCGCAGGTTCTCCCTCCTCCTCCTCCTCCTCCTCCCCCTTCCCCTCCCCCTCCCCCACAGCGGCCGTCCCTGACCCACAGCTGCTTCCAGCACAACCTGCCCCTCAGGTTTCCTGGGAAGTCCCCCTGGGGGTCTACCAGTCACTTGGCAGCCACCGAGCCCAGGCTCCTTCTCAGAAGCTGCCTGCTCCAGCTCCCCTGCTGCTTGTCCCCCTGCGCCCCTCTCTCCCCTGGTGCCAAAGGCAGGGAGCGGAAGAACTGGTTTGGCAGTAGAGCGGGAACAACGCTACCCAGGCCCAAGCAGCAGAAAAGTTCCACTGACTTATTACTCACAGTAAGAAATGTTTAACTGGCCATTTTAAACTGTTTATTTATTTTGCCACCCTGGAGACTGAAGCCAGAACCTTTGCACTGAGCTGCATCCCCAGCCCTTTTTAAAATCTGAGGCAAGGTCTGCCTAAATTGCTAAGTTGCCCAGGCTGGTCTTCAACTTGCAACTCTTCTGCCTCAGCCTCCAAGAGTGCCAAGGCTTAAAATGGGCAATAGAAACTTTAAGACAGTTTTATTCTTAAGTTTTTCAGGCTTACAGTAAAGTTAGAGTACAAACCCCCTGTACCTCCATGCATATTTGCACAATGTTATTTCATCACAGTTTTATGTGACTCTTTGATGTTTGCTTTGTTTGGTAGATTGGTTGGTCGGTTTTTCGTTTTCTGAGTCAGGGTCTTGCTGTGTAGCTCAGGCTGGCCTTGAGTTCACTATGTAGTCCAGGCTGGCCTACAACTCATGAGGCTCCTCCTGCCTCAGCCTCCCAAGTGCTGGGACTACAGCCATGTGCCACCATGCCTGGCCTTCTCTGATGTTTTTTGTTTTGTTTTGTTTTGTTGAGGCAGGGGCTCCCTGTGTAGTTCAGGCTGGCCTTGAACTCACTATGTAGCCCAGGCTGACCTCAAACTCACAGCGATCCTCCTGCCTCAGCCTCCCCAGTGGTAGGGCTACAGGTGTGCACCACCTCGCCAGGCTGATGATTGTTATTGTTACGAGAACAATAATTGACAGCGTGTTGTAGACAGGAAACCTTTTCAGCCAGTCTGCATCAGCACCAGCCTCCAAAGGTGACCCGAACCAGGAATCTTCGTGGTGACCAATCAGGAAGTGGTTTGATGTAATGCTTGGATCTAATTTACAGTCCTGGCTTGGGTTTGCCAGCCATCCTGCAACGGCCACCGCAAAACAGAACTTTAAAAGTTCTAGTTTTTTAGAGATAAGCAACTTCTCCAAACTTCTTCCTGTTCGGAACCAATGCCCACACCTCTCTCAGCCCCCCACAGGGACCCAATGTGCAGATGCAGCCCTGGGAGGCAGGAGCCCAATTCCCTTCCACAGGAGAGGGGACCCGGGAGTGACACAGCAAGTGCAGGGTTCTGTCTCCCCTCTGATCCTCACTGCAATGACCCTTGCCCATCTGCATCGGGGAGGTGGTGAGTTGAGGCAAACGGGGCCCTCTGTCTCCCCAGAGCGAGCTCTGAATAAATCCTTTCTACCAAAATAAGTGGCCTCTGTCAATTCGGTCAGCAGTGAGCAAACGTAATGACCCCGGTGTTCTTTTAACCAACAGCAGGTCAAGGTGGGTGGAAGACAAAAGTACCAGACCCCAATCCACCTGCTTCCTGCAGCATCAGTCCGATTCTGTGGTCTGGGATCTCAGTGCCATTTGTTCCTCCACGGCCCCCGTAGGGTGATGGCAGCCAGAGGGAACAGAAGAAAAGTTGAGAAGCCTTCAATGCTCTTTCTCCCAAAGGCTCGCTGGGAAACGTCTAGCAACACAGCTCTTCCGCTGCTGAACAATGAATTCTATCTCACGATGCCACAGTCTAGCATAGTCAGTTTTTCAGTTAAATATTGTACATATAAGAGTTGATTTTCATCACCACCACCACTGACACACACTGGTGGTTTTCATTATTTAAAATATATTCAAACGGGCCACAGTGGCACAGGCCTGTAATCCCAGCACTCTGGGAGGCTGAGCCAGGAGAGTGCAAAGTTCAAGCCCAGCATGGGCAATTGAGCAACTTAGGGAGACCTTGTCTCAAAATGAGAAAAAAATTTTTTTTCACAATGAGAAATTTTTTTAAAGGGGGGCTGGGGGTATAGCTCAGTGTGAAGGTGCTGGTTCAACCCCCACTACTACCAAAACATTCATACTATGGACAAGGACCAAACTGCACAAATTAGGAATTGGATGCGGCAAGCAAGGGACGTTAAAATGCAGGCACAGCTTCCCTCCTGAGGTCAGCAGCCTCGGAGACCCTCTTTGCTCTAAAGAGGGAGGGGCTCCAAGTGAACCACTACTGGGGCATGGCTCAGCCGCTGCACCCCACACAGCCCTGTGTATACACTGTGCTGGGGTAATGGGCCTTACCGGGTCTGCCACCCTGCTTGGCCAGCTTCACGTACTCGGAGTCTGTGTCCTTGACCCAGTACCTCCTGGCCCGGAGCGCACTCCAGTCCTGCGAGTCCCCCACATTGCTGAGCCCCGGGATCTGCGACGCAGGCGGGGCAGCCACAGCCTTCTCAGAGCGCTTGGCCGGGAGGTGGTAATACCAATCTAGATGGGAGAGCCCAGAGCGTCATGTCACTGTGGGTCGGCGCCCTGGGACAGAGCACGGCGCAGGACAGGCCTGTATCTCAGACTGGACTCGTCGCACCCTAATGCTAAGCAGCCGGTAGCCATGTCCCCAAAGCCCACAGGGACACCAGCCATGGGTGCCACGGAAGAGCTGCTGGCCGGGCTCTTTCTTCAGTATCCTAGCTTTCCAGAGAGGTTGGCCTCCAAGGCCACTTATACCTGTCACCTCTCTTTCTGTCTCTCCTCTGTAGAGGTGAGATTTAACTTTTTCCCGCCATGCTGGGGAATAGGGAAGCCTGAAGAATTCTGACTCACTTAGAACATCATGGATAAACCTTCCAGCAGCCCTAATGTCTGTCAACAGATGAATGGATAAAGAAAATGCATTACTTACACACAGTGGAGTACTACTCTGCCATAAATAAGGATAAACTTGAGTCATCTGTAGGAAAATGGATGCAGCTTGAGACCATATGTTAAGTGAAATAAATCAGACACACAAGCTTAAATAGTGCATGATTTCTTTTATAGAAGAAACCCAAAGTATAAATAAATTAAAGAGAAAAATAACAGACCAATAGTAGGAAGCAGGGAGACAGATCTTTTGCAAAGGGGGAGGGGACTGAGAGATGGAGGGAGGTGGGAGAGGATCAAAGAACTAAGATGTGTTCTGTACAGGCACCAACTGCCCCACACGGCATGTGATCATTATGTACCACAAGCATGGATTAATAAAAAATAAAAATTTGAAAAAAGCATCATGAGTAAAACAATGGGCTATGTGAGCAAATGCTGCCCAAGATTCGTTTTCTTCTGTTTTGTTTTTTGAGACAGGGTCCCAATATGTAGCTCAGGCTGGCCTTGAAATCACTATGTAGCCTAGGCTGGCAGTGATCCTCCTACCTCAGCCTCCCGAGTGCTGGGATGACAGGCGTGCGCCACCACACCCAGTTGGACACCGCCCAAGACCGTGCACACTCAGTTCGTTAGAAGAAGATATAAATTCTGGCGCAGAAACAACAGATCGATTCCCAGGCTGCCCGGCTGCACTTCGAACAGACCAGGGTGCGGCATGAGGTGCTGTGCTGAAGCTGCCACCCCACTGCCCACTGCCTGCTACTACTCGGCCAGTGGCAGCAAGGCCTGGCCTGGCTCCCTGTCCCTCCGATGAGCCCCTGGGTTGGCTTCTTGGTGACAAGCCTGAGCATCGAGGAAGAGCAAGCGCCAGGAAGGGGCTCATTCCACAGGAAGGAAAAGCTTCCCCACCCGATTGCTAAGCACTTCCCCTGGGGAGACGGAGATGAAACCCCGGAATGTCTATGTTGTGACCTCTGTCCCGAAGGATTGGCAGGGGGCAGCAGCCCAGGGGAAGAGGAGGGAGAGCAAGCGTGGCCTCTGTCCTTCCTGGTGACTGGAGTCTAACACAGAAAGGGGGTGAGCCCAGCCCCGGGGAGCAAGTGGCTCCCTGGGCCTCAAGTAGCAACCTCCAGGGCAGACCCTGCAGGCCCATACCCCATTAGACTCCTGGAGATGCTGAGCCAGGGGCTGGGAGCTGCTGTGCAGGGTCTGAGGGGCTGGCAAGGTCCCCAGGACTGGGGGTCTTTACCACTTCAGCAGAATCCCTCGGACAGAAGGGATTGGGCATTCAGACTGTAGGCGTTTAGGCAAAGCTTTGCATCAGAAATTGGTTGACCAGATGGCCAAATATAAGGGAAAATCTCACAAGCAATTAGAAAGAAACTCCAGGAAAACTGTGAAACACAAAAGATGCAATTCTCGTGGCATCATGGATGTATTTAGTGGCAGTGGTCAGAATGTAACTGTCACAAACACAGGATATTCAGCCCATAGCAGATGTGGTGTCAAACTTTATGGCTGGGCCATGGTATCCTGATGTCAGGCAAGCATTACTCTAGATGCTTCCATGAGGGTGTTTCATTGGGTGAGAATAACTTTCAAATCAGTGGACTTTGAGAAAATTGGATGACCCTCCATAGTATGGGTCAGCCTCACCCAATCAGCTCCCAGGCTTAACAAAAAAGAAGGAATAGGGAGGCTACTTCCACATGAATTTTGAACTGGAAGTGCAACAGCGGCGGGTCTCCAATGTAAGGTCCCCCTGGTCTCCAGTCTCCCCTCCAGACATGCCAGCCCCTATTCCTATGAGCCAGTTCCTTAAAATAAATCTCTCTCTCCAGAGACAGATAGAGGCAGACAGACAGACAGACAGCCTGTTGGTTTGTTGGTTATGCTGCTCAGTGCACGGGAAAACAGTACAGAATAAGTCAACTCACACAAGCACACAGAAATAAGTCTCCATCATCTACGGCTGAAAGCTTAAACATCCAGCTTGTACTTAAACCATAGCACGGTTTGCTGCATAAAAGTGAATAACATTTAACGTGGAAAAATTTTTTGGATACCCCAGGGACATTAATTAACTAAATCAACACCATTGAGGTTTTGAAAAGAAAAAAACTTGGGAGAGGCTTAAGGAATCGCACAAAAGATCACAGCATCAATTTAAGAACTAAGAATAAGGGTTTAGTAGCTTTGTACCCTGGTCATTCAGCTCAAAGACTGACTCTTTTAGAAAGAGGGCATTTGGTTCTTGCTTATTTTTCCTCTCTGTGTTTTGATTACTAATTAATCCTCAGAGAACAGCATATCTTCTACCTGCTCATTACTGGAAGCACCAGACAGGCACTGAACTTTAATCCGCTTATAAACAAATGCCAAGGAACAGCTGAGAGAGCTAGGTAAGGACTGAATGGTCTAGAAACAAACATCACTACCTACCAGCAGGTTAAGGGAACAAGGAGTTATCCTTTAGCTTTGTGTGTGGGGTGTGTGTGTGTGTGTGTGTGTGTGTGTGTGTGTGTGGTACTGGGGAGTGAACTCAGGGCCTTCACACCGAGCTACAATCCTCACCCTTTCTTAAGACAGAAATTTGCTAAGTCATTCACCAAGTTGCCCAGACTGGACTCAAACTTGCAATCCTCCTGCATCAGCCTCCCAGAGTACTGGGCTTATAGCATTTATCACTCAAAACTTGTTACTATCTGTATGGGCCTAGGTCATGGACTATCCTATTGGTTTTCTTTCTCCATCCTTTCCTGCTTTCTCACAGACTACACATTAGAATCCTTATTTTCCCTTGTTTTATTAATGAGGAAACAGTGGCTTCGAGTGGCTGAGAGCAGAAGCGAGGGCCGCTCTGCTCTCCTAGTCTGGAAGTCAGGGACAACACGGCCGCAGGCCACAGGCCCTATCTTCAGCTCCCCAGAGCCCCACTGAAAGTCAGGACTGTGAGACTACTTGGTGCCTGGTGAGCGTGGACCGCTCACTCCAAGCTCCACCTGCCTCAGTTTCCTGGTCTATGAAGTGGGTGATGCCGCCCGGTAGGGGTGCGCTGTGTCAACTGTGCTAGCTCACAGGCAGGGCTGGGACAGCACCGGCACCAGGTAGCACCCATGAGCAGGGTTCACGCTCATGTTCACCCACTTCCGGCAGCGTCCTGATGGCCCACCAAGTCCCAGAGCCCGAAGTGAGAGAACAGGAGCTGCTGAGTTTCCTTGCATCGTTCTCCACGCTCAAGCCCCGGGCGCAGCTGTCCTGTCTCCAACAGCAGCCCCGGGCAGAGCGGGGGGGGGGGGGGGGGGGGGGTAGAAGCGCGTGTGGGTGTGTGGGAGGGCCACGCTTTGCTTCGGGCCCGTACAGACCTGAAGGGCCTCGGCTCGTCCCCAGCACGCCTTCTGCAGCCCTTCCCAAGACGCGGGGGCAAACACCAAGGCAGGCTCACGGCCTCGCTCTCCCTCCCTTCTCAGCTTCAGACCCTGGTGGTGAAAGCCGGAGAAGCTACGCTGGATTCTCCATGCCAGCGTCCACCCAGCCCCTGAGCGGGAAGCACACTGACCAGGGCCGCGCCTACACGGAGTGAGCGCCTGGGGTGCGGCCGGACAGCCGACCCAGAAGTAGCACTCAGGACAGCAGCGGAGGAGTTCGCGTTGGAACTGCTGAAAGAACAAGTCCGAGGCTCCCGCGCCCACCGCCATCGCTTTCGCCCTCCCGGCCCCCGCTCACCGCAGGAGGCGTAGCGCTGCCCGGCGCCCGGCACCTCCCGGTTCGTGTTCTTCATGGCCGGGCGCGCGGGAGACGCAGCTAGGCCGGGGCCGCGCCTGCAGCGGGGCAGACGGCTATGCGGCCGAGATCGAGCGTCGCGGGACGGGACGCCTCCTGCCGCTCCGCTCTGCTGCCGGCCGGGGTCTCAGTGGCTCAAGTTCGTACGACGCGGGCTGGCAGTCGGGGGCCAACCCGAGACGCCCCAGTGGCGCGGAACAACAACCCGCGTCGCCACAGCAACGGTCGGGTGGCCAATCAGCGGGGGCGGCGAGAGTGCAGACACCCAATAGCGACAACCTCTGGAGAACCAGTGGGCCAATCAGAGCCAGGCAGGAACGAAGGCGCCCCCTGTCAACCGCCCGGAGCCTGGAGCGAGAGGAGACACAGTGGGGCGGGGCGGGGCGGGGCTGACAGGGCGGGGCCACGCCTGGTATGGAGCCGCCCCGCCCCACTGAAACCAGAGAAATTTGGCACATCCTCCCTTCAGTTCTCTAAGAGGAGGTGACCATCTCACCTCTAAGAAAGAGCACCAGTAGATAAAAACATAACCTAAGCAAACTCAGGAGTAGTGATGCACCTAACAAAAGGACGCTTAATCTTAGAAAGAAATTGGATTCTAAATCTCTCGATTATTTAGTGCATTAAAAAGCGGCTAGGAACTTGGTAAAACTCAGCAAACAGACATTGCTGCCAGTTGTATACCAATTGTAAAATTACCGTGTAAACGTTTCCTGTGTCTTAGTTTGGGAGATATTTCTGTTGTGTGAGTCAAGAGGCGCTTTTATAAAGCCCTTAGCCACATTCCTACCGTATGGGGTTTAGAGTTCCAACTCCTTAGCTTAAATGAGAGGTTTTTGGCCTTGCTGGATTTGAGATCTGAAAAAGAGAGAGGGGAAGGGAGGGGAGAAGAGAGGAAGAGGTTACCAATCGCGCTCCTTTGAAGAGGAGGAGTTTATGAATCTTGCTGCTTTGCAAGAATGGAAATTATTTGGCACAATCTTGGTGAATCCAATGCAAGGAGACAGCTCTGACACAGGTCACTAGGGGACACTTCTCATCCGGAGAGTGTCGTGTAGCCCTGAGCAAGTAGAGGAGACAACGACCCGTGGTTAACCCATGTTTGGGGTTAGACAAGGATCAGCTACTAGAACCTGAATAGAAAGCCTGCTGTTCCCATAGCTAGGACAACTGTTAATAGTTTTCATTTTTCTCTGGTTGAAATGTTTTGTAAAATCAAGACTTCAGCATAGTGGCTACTTGGCCCATTGAGCTAGGGAGGTGCTGACTGTTACAGGGGTTCATATTACACATCTAGAAGGCAGGGCACACAGGAACTGGGTAAGAAGAAATTCTGTGTGCGTGTGACGGGAGTTAGCCTTCGCTCCTGTTTTATCCAGCTCTAATATTGTATTGTGACGAATCCTAAGAATCTCCTGCTGGCCCTGTCTCATAGTTAGTCAAGACTTCATGCTGCATGACACGTCGTTCACTATATATAAAGCCACTTCGGTTATCACCAGGCATGACAAGTGCTGCTGTTTGTGTAAGTCACAAATTCATCCAGTTAAGGGATTATATGGTCAGCAGAGCTTATTTTTTAAAACAGCTGATCACAGTCACTGCAGCTATGCTGACCAGAGAGTACCTATAGCTCTCAATTGGGTTAATAAGAGCAGGGAGCATTTATAGCTGAAATGATAATGAAGAAATGATTGTTCCTTAGGAATAGTGTCATTGGAGTGTCATTGAAATCACAGATGTCTGTATATGCCAAATCAAATGAAGACATAACACAAGGACAATCCACTTATAATGAGCACATCTCAATGTCATTATTTCCTAAACTTTGGGCTATGCGGGGTTTTAGTCTTTTTAAAAATAAATTGGGGCCATTCACCCTGATATGTCACCTTAATTGGATTAAGAAATGCCTAGCACAATTGTAAAGCTACTTTGCTGTTTGGAGTCTCTTGTGGTTTCATATGAATTTTAGGAATTTTTTCCACTGCTGAGAAAAATGGCATTGGGGTTGACATGGAATGTATCCAATCTGTAGATTGCTTTGGGCAGTATGGAAATTTCTTTTTTCTTTTTTTTTGTTTTTTGAATCTTGCTTATTTTTATTTTTCAGTACATTTCAAATATTTTTGACTAAACATTTAGAAATCAGGATGGAAATTTCAACAATATTAATTCTTCCAGTGAATGAACATGGTCTTTCCAATTACTTGCATCTTCTTCAATTTCTTTCATCAATGTCTTAATAGTTTTCCTCATACAGGTCTTTCACCTCTGGTTAAATTTGTTCCTAGGTTGCTAGAGTTTGGACCTCGAATGTCCCCCAGTGGCTGTGTGTCAAAGGCTTGGTCCTCACCTATTGGGAGGTGGTGGAACCTTTAAGAGGCATGGCCTAATAGAAGGTATTATGTCATTGGGGGCATGACCTCAAGTACTGTGGGATGCTGGGCTTTTCTCTCTCTGCTTTCCCACCCTTAGGTAAGCAGCTTGCTCTACCATGCACTCCCCACTATGATGTGTTGCCACAGGCCCAAAAGCAGCAGGGCCTACCAACCATGGACTGAAACCTCTGAAACTGTAAGGCAATAAACCTTTCTACTTTTTCAGATATCATCTTAGATTTTTTGTTAAAAAAATGGAAAGCTGACTGACACAAGTATTTTAATTTTTTGACACTTCTGAAAATAGAATTATTTTCTTAACTTCTCTTTTAGATAGTTCATTATTAGTATGAGTACTAGAATGTTGTCTCTGTCTTGTTAATTTCGTATGCTGAAACTTTACTAAATTATTCTATAAGTTTTTAACAGTTGTTTTGGTGGAGTATTTAAGGTTTTCCATATATAAGATCATGTCATCACCAGAGACAATTTAACTCCTTTCCAATTTGAATGATTTTTGTTTTTCTTTTCTAATTGACTTAAGAGTTCTAGTATTTCTAACTTGTTGGGAGTTTTTATCATGACAGGGTATGGAATTTTGTTAAATGCTTGTTTGTTTATTTTGCTTTGTTTTTTGAAACAGAGTATTGCTATGTAATTCAAGCTGGTTTTGAACTCACTATGTAGCCCAGGCTGGCCTCAAACTCATGGCAATCCTCTTGCTTCAGCCTCCCAAATGCTGGGATTATAGGCATGCAGCACCATGCCTGGCTTCAAATACTTTTTCTGAATCTGTTGAAATGATTTTTTTGTCTTTCTGTTACTGTGGTCTAACACATTTATTGATTTGTGTATGTTAAATCATCTTTGCATCCCAGGGACTAATTCCACTTGATCATGATGTATGATCCTTTTAATGTGATACTGAATTGTTGCTAGTATTTTGTTGAGAATTTTTGCATTTATGTTCATCAGTTGTATTGGTCTACAATTTTCTTTTCTTATTGTAGCTTTATCTGACTTTGGTATAAGGATAATGCTGGCCTCACAAAATGAGTTTGGAAATGTTCCTTCAGCAATATTGTGGAAGAGTTGGAGAAGAACTGCAATTGTTCTTTACATGTTTAGTAGAATTCAGCAGGGAAGGGACCAGGTCTTGGACTTTTTGTTATGAGAGATTTTTATTACTGATTCAGTCTCCTAACTCATTATTGACCTGTTTGGATTTCCTGGTTCTTTATTACTCAGTTGTATGTTTTTAAGCGTTTATCAACTTCTTCTAGGTTATCCATCCAATTTATTGGCATAGAATTATGAATATCTGTTATCTTTGCATTTTTTGTAATAACCATAATATCTCCTTTTTAATTTCTGATTTATTTGAATTTTTCCTTTTTTCTGAGACTTGCTAAAATCTGTCAACTTTGTCTTTAAAAAAATCTTAGCCTTTTAATATTTCCTATTGTTTTGTTTTTGGGGTTTTTTTGTTTTTTTTGTTTTTTTGGTACCGGGGATCAAACTCGGGTCCTTAGCTTTTGAGGCAGGTGGTGGAACCACTGAGCTAAATCCCCGGCCCAATTTCCTATTGTTTTTCTAGTCCATATTTCATTTATTCCTGTTTGGTATTTGCTATTTCCTTCCTCTGTACATACAAAAATACTTTCACTTTCCCTTTTCACACCTTTTATATTAATGTCACATTTTATATCTTTTTATATTATTTATACATTAAGGAATTAGTTACTATTATTTTTAGCCCTTTTATCTTTCAACTTGTATACTACCGTTAAAAGTGTTTTACCACCACCTTTTCAGTATTGATATATTCTGAATTTGACTATGCATTTACCTTTTAAACTTATGTATTTAACTTTACATTTTCATTTTGTAACTTAGCTACCTTTTATTTTAACTCAAATTGTCCCACTTGCACTTCCTGTAAGGCAGGTCTTACAGGACAAGACCATTTGTCTAAGAATGTGTTTATCTCTTCTATATCTGAAAGACAGCTTTTCCAGGCAGTATTCTTGAGTAACACTTTTGGTTTGTTCAAATGTGTTTTTGTTTTGTTTTCTTTCTTTGTTTGTTTGGGGGGGGGTGCTACTATATTATCTCATTTTATCCAAGTGTGCAAGGCTTCTGCTGAGAAATCTGCTTTAATTGTATGGTAGTTCATCATATGTGACAAGTAACTTGTTGCTTTCAAAATTGCCTACTTGTCTCTGACTTTTGATCATTTGAATATGATGTGTCTCTGAATAATTGCCTTTGAGTTATCTTACTTGGCAATGTTTAAGTTTCATGAATCTAAATGTTCATATCACTGCCAAGACTGGGATTTTTTTTCTTTAAATATTCTTTCCTCACCTTACTCTCTTCTCCTTCGCAACTCCCATAATGCGTATATTCGTTCATTATGGTGTTTCACAGGTCCTGTACTCTCTTTGCTTTTTTTAACCTCCCCCCCAACATGACTAATTTCCAATGACCTGCTTTTCATTTCACTGTTTCTTCTGCATCATTGAGTCCATCTATGGAATTTTTCAGCCTGTCATTGTATTCTTTTACACAAGGATTTTTGATTGGTCCTTTTTTATTGTATCTATTTTGTAGCTTACTTTGCTCATGCATCATTTTCCTGATTTTCTTTAGTTATCTATATGTGTCCTCTTGTATTTCATTGAGCTTCTTTAAAATTATTGTTTTGAGAGTTTGCTTCAGCAGCACATATACTAAAATTATTATTTTGAATTCTTCACTAGATAATTTATAGATCTCTATTATTTCTCTGAGGTCAGTTATTGGAGCTTTATTAGTTTCTTTTGATGGTGTCGTACTTGCCTGACTCTTTATCATCCTTGTAGGATTGAATAGTTAATCTGTACCTTAGAAATAGCAAGCACCTTTTCCAGTCTTTTCAGATTGACTTCAGAGGTGAAGATCTTATCTTCTTGGGTCCCCAACCTGGAGGAAATGTACCCAGTGTTGCAGCTGAAGTGAGTCTTCAGTCATTGGACCTGTTACCAGGGACCCAGGTGTGCCTGAGAGGAATCCCACAGACCCTGGTAGGCAGAGTTGGCCCTGGGGCAAGGATACACTTCAAGGCCAACAGTGGAGCTTGCAGGCAGCAGGTCTGCTTGGTGCATGGATGGGAGTGACCCCCACTGGGTGTCTGGGAGGGAAGAATTATTCCGGCCCCCTGGGCAGGTCCCTGAGGAGGTCAGGCTGTGCCTGAGCCATGCCTGAGAGGACTGAAACAAAGTCACAGAACTGCTTTGGGCCCCACAGCTGATACTGAGGACAGCAAATTGGCCTCTGGGGGTCCAGAGGGGTTCATCTCCCAGTGAATCCCTGGGTAAATGTGACTGCTGTCACACCTCAGGTGGGAGGGGCTAGCGCAGCCACAGGCCTGTGTCAAGATCTTCTATGGGACCAAGGTCAGTGGCCCTGCCTCTGGGCACATGGACGGCCATGTCTCTTTCTGGACACTTGTTTGACCTGGTGGCTCCCAGACCATGGCTAAGGAGTCCAGAGCTGTTTCCAGAGAGCCCTGGGGACTGCAGGCAGATGGCTGGCATACCTGCCTCAAGTGTTGGATGGGACTGTCCCCTCATGGTCCCTGTCAGACTGTGGCTGAGAGGCCACTGTGGTGTTCACATTGGGACTGTGGTCAGCAGGCTCCCAGCCCTAGGCATAGGTGGGCGTGACTCCTCCCAGGTGGATTGTGCAAGTGTGGTATTAGGACCAAGGGGCTGGAGCAAGTCCACAGGAGGAAGGGCTTTTTCTGGGTCTCCAGGTGGGACCATGGCCAGAGATCCTGCCTGCTGGCCTGGGCCTGGCTTCCCAGAACGGCCCTCCTCAGCCTGGGGCTCTGCTGAATTTCACAGCCTGTCACTGGACCTCAAGGTTCCCACAGAGGTGCTGGGCCAGGCATCTGCTGAATTGTTGCTGCTAGGATGACACGAGCAGGGGCCTCTCCTGCCATGCTGCTGGTGTCACTCCAAAGTCCCATAGTTTAAAATGGAAAAAGCAAGAGGCCATTAAGTGCTGAAAGCCAAACAGCTATCACTCCAGAACCATATATCCCAAACAAAGTAGCTCATTCTTCCATGCAGCAATTCCATGTCTAGGTGTATGCCTAGAAAAATCCATGATGCCTACAAGAGTGAGCACTGAGCATGATTGGTACTGCTGAAAAATAACCAAGTGTACTTCCGTGGGAAAATGGGTAAATGAACTATGAGGCATATGTAATAAAATACTCCGGAGCAGGTAAAATTAGCGAACTGGTTAATACATCTCAAGATAGATATTGTTAGCTAGGCATGATGACGCATGCCTGTGTCCCAGCACTCTGGGAGGCTGAGGCAGGAGGAACAAGTTCAAGCCCATCCTGGGCAGCTTAGTAGCTTAGCAAGACCCTGTCTCAAAATAAAAATGTAAAAAAGGGCTGGGGATGTAGCTCAGTATGAAAGATCTGGGTTCCATCCCTAATGCCACACACACAAAAAGATATCATTGAAAAAAAAAAACAGAGTAGCATAAGTAGTCACTTATTTCAATTTTAAAGCATGAAAAATACATAATTTATGGAATATGCATATTAAAAATACATAGGAATGGATGGAGTATTTCAATTTTCTAGTGGCAGCTATTTTTAAGGGGGGAAAGGAACAGTGTAAAAATGGGGGATATCTTGGTTTCTTCCATTAAATTTCTCATATTTTATGTATTTTTCAAAACATCCAGCTGTGCCATAGTGCAGGGGCCTGTACAGTACACATAGGTTTAAACCTGCAACACACAGCCCAGGGGGAGACAGGTGGGTATGTGGCAGCCACCACTGGGTGGGCCATGGCCACCTGCCATTCTGAGCTGTCACAGGAGGTGATGTCATAAAGGAGTCACCGGCCTCAGCACCTTGCAGGAGAACTCCCGTGAAGCAAGAAGACAGAAAACAAACCACTATCCTAGCGCCACATTTCCTGTAAGCCAGGCAGGAAGCAGGGCATGGCATCCAGCCTTCTGTGAGCTCAGCTGCCTGTTGGGGACAATGAGTGGGAATGGGAAGCTGAGGCAGGGTGCAGGGTCCTTCCTGGGTGGCTCTGACGACCCCAGCAGCAGCAGCAGCAGCAGCACCAGCATCCCTGTGTTGCTACCAGAGCACCGGAACCCAGGTGCTAATGGGTACGTGACTTTGTGGACCGGTTTCCTGAAGGTCTTGAGTTGTCTGTATTACGTGTCATTGGGCCCTGTTTATCTGGAAAATAACCAAGCAGTGTTTTTCTCCACAGTACTTCCCGCAGCACACTGAGAGGTAGTTAGATTCATTACAGCAGTGTGGGGACAGGAAGATGAAACAGGAGCCACACCCTTCGGATGACTCACTCTCATCAAAGGGCTGGCTGAGCAGACCTCAGCGGAGCCCTCAGGACTGCAGACAGAGTGGCATTTGTGACACCCTTGGGTGACAATGGGCCCACAGCCCGACAGTGGACACATATGTTAAGCTAATCACTGCTGCCTCTAGGAAGAGCATATTATCTGTGCCCTGGACTGAGATGCCAGGCAGGCTCTGTCCTCTTGGATGGGCCCAATACACTGCCTGCTGGGAAAATAAACTGAAAATAATGAGGTAAACCACCCCAGTAGTAACAATGAAGCATTTGCCCAGAAAAAAACCTGCCAACAAAGATTAAAGAATAGCTGCAGAACCCTCTCTGCCACAAGAACAGCATTTGAGAATCAGTCAGTAATAAAGCACACCCTCAAAGGCAAAGCCCACAGGCTCTGTGAAGATTAGAATGAGTTTTGCTTTGCAAAAGAGAGGCTGGCAACCAGGATTTTCAGTTTAAAAGCAAATACCTGATTGACCTTTGGTAAATACGGTAATTGTCACCTAATGCAGTCCCCAAGGGGGCTGTAACTAACCTTGTAATTAACCTTGTTTAGCCAGTGGACCTTCTGCCACCCCTATATACTCAATAATACTTAAAGGATTTCAAGAGAACACTTCCTTGGAGGTATAAGGGGTGACTAAAAAATATGGTGCATGTTTAAATTTAAGAATTTATTACAGGAAAAGACACATTGCTATTAACTCTCCTCAGATACTCCCCTCACTTTGAACACACTTATCCCATTGTCTCACCACTTTCTGAAGCTGTTCTGGAGTCCTTTTTCCTGAGGGTCTTTACAAGACACTTTCAGACATATGAATGCGGCTGCCGAGTGCATCCAGTGGAAAGTCAGGCTTCTAAAAATGTGGCACAGTGTCCTCCTCCACCATATCTACCAGATCTGGGACCCTGTGACTTTTGGTTCTTCCTCAAAATCAAAATGACCATGAAAGGCAAACATTTGGAATTGATTTTGGGGAACATCCTTGGTCTAAGCCAGGGCCGGGCACCTCCTCTGTGTGCACACAGACAGCAGCTGTGGTCTCTGCCTCTTCTCAGAGGACGCCGTCCTGTCAGGTCAGGGCCCACTCTGATGAGCTCACCTGAACTCATCTCCTCCCGACTCTGCCTCCACACACCCCCCCATGCAGGCGGCTGGCTGCAGCCATGAGGCCAGGGTACAGTTCCGTCCCCGGGACTGCTCAAACTCTCAGGGACAGGTTCCTCCTGGGAAAGTCCATGGGGCATCCGCTGCATTCTAATTTGTGCACTTTTCTGTATGAATAATGCAGTCCTTAAATACAAAGTGGGGAGACAGGATGAGTTTTGAAAACAGAAGTCATTTTTTCCATAATTCTTAAGCCTAACAGCTAATTCCTGAAAAATGAAAGCATGACTTTTCTTCTAGCACGTTCCACATCAAAACCTGCAGGACGCCTATCTTTGTTTTCTTCTTATAAGGATTTGAGGACTATAAATAGGCTCATGCCAGCGTCCCAGGCACATATGTGTGAGGGAGGAACATGAATGGAACCATGTGCATGCCATTGTGAAGACTGTTTCCTCTCCATGTCTAAGAGAGTGGATTAGGAATTAAATGAACTCGCAGAATCAACCTCAAATAAGCAAGAATAAGAATAAGTAGGTTTGAAAGGGAAGAGGACGAAGAGATGGACAGAGAGGGAAGGGAGGGGAGCAGAGGGAACACAAAAACAATTGAGACGCATGGCGTCATGCACCAACTCCCCACAATGGACCTAATCACTACATACTGCAAACTTGGACTAATGAAAACAAAAATTAGAAAATAAAACCAGGATCTCTTGCCCTGCAAGAAAAAACAAGAGTGAGTAGGCTCGCTGGCTTGGACGTAGTGGCTAGTTTAAAGTCCAAGTTAAAGGTTAATCGTAATGGATTACTTGGTTAAATACCTTTTTATTGTCTTAATTCTTTTTAGGTTAACTCGGTCATGGAAGGTTATCCTAAGTATAATGCTTACGTTGACTTTTCTTCTTGTTGGTAAGTCCAACCAATAATGCTTCTTAATGCTATTTCCTGGGGTATATTTGTGTGGTGTGAAAGATTTCAGTAGAATGGTTCATCTTTGTTAAATAAGTGCCACAAAAAATACCAGAGTAAGTGGCATGTTCTTGAAGTTTTTTATCTGTTTTGTCTTTATCTCTTTATAAAGGTAATGTAAATTCTTTATAGAAAATTTAGAAAGTGTTTTTTTCCTCTTAGCATTGTATTTTAAAATCACAGAAGTTGATTTAAATTAAGAATCCTTAATATACTTATTGTAAACACATTTTACATTTTACCTTCTCTAAATCTGGGTAACTCCTCTTGGGAGATTTTAATGACAAAAGACTCTTGTTAATGATGTGGATCCCAAAGAAATTACCACTTCCCATGAAGTTCTTGCTTCTGGACTGGGCCAGTATCACGCATCACAAGCCTGGCACAGTGGGAAACGGCTCTTGAAAATATTGCCAGCTTGGCCACAGAGTTCCCATTAAAACCAAGGCTCTGGTCTGGCCACTGCGCTGATGTGGCATCTTCTAAAACAGCAGTGCTCTGAGCTGTTCTCCATGACTGCACCTGCACAGCTGGGCGGCTGCCCGGCCCAGCCCCCTGGCAGTTCCTGGCCGGGCCTGCGGGGTTGCCCAGCTCGGCACCTCTGAACCACACCCTGAGTGCTTTGCTTTCCAGCGGGAACCAAGCAGCTCTTGGCTTGCTCTGCTTCCTGGCTGTGTTTCCTTCATCTCTGTTGACCTTGGGATTGGTGCATCAGCTGGCCTTTCCCATCTCACTGCTGCTGCCTCTCTGGCCATCCCTGTGGACCAAACATCTGCATAGCACTGCCCAGGCCCATGTGTGGTGAGGCAGACCTGCCCTTCCCAGCCTCCACCTCAAGGCCTGGGTCAGGGCACACAGCATAGGCACCAGAACTACTTGTGTTCAAGATGTTTCTCATTCTGGCATCTGTGTTAGTCAGCTTTATGTTACTGTGACAAAACACCTGAGATAATCAGCTTAAAAAGAGGAAAGGTTTCTTTTGGCTCGCAGGTTAAGAAGTTCACAGTCAGTTGGTCCATGGCTTTGGGGCCTGTGGCAATACACCATGGTGGGAGTATCTGGCTGAGGAAGGGCAAGGGAGAGACAGGAAGAGCCTGGGGCTGCAATGTCCCCCTCCAAGGTGTACCCCAATGATCCACCTTCCTCCCACTAGGCACCACTTCCTCAAGGTTCCAATGTCTTGCAGGAGTGGGGCCCAAGCCACTACCCCTGGGCCATGGGGGATGCTTCCCTGAACCCTAGTGACATCTTTTACGATCCACATTTATTAATTCAAAGAGCAAAGTGAAGGGTACTATAGGAAACAGGGAGGGAGGGAGATCTTTTCAGATGGGAAAGGGATCTAGGGATGGAAAGAAGAGACCAAGGGGAGGAGGAGAGGAAGTAAAAAGAACTAAGATGCAATGTGTGCATATACCAACTCCCCATGATGAACTACTCAATATAGACCACAAACGTGTGCTAATAAAAACTGCATAAAAGTTATACATTATGCCATTACACCGGATACAAACTGCTTCTTTGTATTTCCTAATTATGAGCTGGCAAAAAATGTGCCAGATCCATTTTAGACACCATTGGAAGAAAGGAAACACAATTTCAGTGGAAGTTAAAAGGACTCTGATCCTTTTCTTCTTTACCAAGTTGAAATTCACACAGTATAAAATAAGCCCCTCTCGGGTACACTTCACTGGTGTTTAGTGTGCTTACAACGACACGCAACCACTTCCTTTCTAGAGTCCAAAATAATTTTCCTCACCCCCAAAGGAAGCACCTTGTACCCAGCAGGCACTTGCTTCCCATCTTTGCTCTCCTCAGACCCGGCAGCCAGCAGTCTGCATCCTGTCGTCTGTCTGCACTTTCTCATTGGGATCATTCAACATGTGGCCTTTCTTGTCTGGTTGACTTCTTGTAGCTTCATGTTTTGAAGGTTGATCCATATTGTAGAGTGTATTCATTCATTTATTTTGGCTGAAGAATATTTCTGTGTATGTATACACTAGATTTTGTTTCTATTTATCCACTGAGGGAGACTTGACTATACTCACCTTTTGGTTTTTGTGAATAGCAATGCTAAGGGAACCTGTACAAGTGTTTGTTTGAATTCCTGCCTTTGCTTCTTTTGAGTATAAACATAGTAATGGAGTTTGGGAAGGATCTGCCAAACTGGTTTCCCTGGTGGCTCACTGCTTACGTTCCCAGCAACAGTTTCTCCACCTCTCTGTGGTTTTGACTTGCTTTCCTTCACGACTAATGGCACCAAGCATTGTTGCATCCATTCCAAGGAGAAATACCTACGGATTGTCTCTTGCTCATTTTTTGATTGTGCTGTTGGTTCTTTTGCTGTGGAGTTCTGAGAGCCTTCTCAGATATATAACTTGAAAATATTTTGTTTCATTCTCCACATTGTTTTTCCATTTTCTCTTAATGTCCTTTGATATACAAAAGCTTGTAATTTCAATGCTGTGCAATCGTTAAATCTAAAGACTTGCACTGTTCTCTGCTAAGAGTCTTATGGTCTCAGCAACTGTCATTAGGTCACTGTTCTATTTTCAGTTTATTTTTGTACCTGGTGCAAAGTAAGGGTTCATTTTATTTGTTCTGATTCTGTATGTTGATATGCAGTTGTCTCAGCAGCATTTGTCTGAAAGGTGATTTCCCCTGCAGGAGCCTTCAAGTAGTCTTGGCACCCTTGCCAAAAGTTCATTTGGCCATAGTTGTATAAATTCTGGGCTTCTAATTCTACCCTGCTGGTCTATCTGTTATGACAGCATTGCACTGTTGTGATTTTGATTGGGATTGCTTTGAACCTTATCCTCTTACTAGCAATAAGAAGTCTCTAATTCCTTTTTTTTTTTTTTTTTTTTTTTGTGGTACCCGGGATCGAACTCAGGACCTTGCGCTTGTGAGGCAGGAGGTGGCACCACTGAGCTAAATCCCAGGCCCCAAGAAGTCTCTTAATTCCTAGAAAAAAAAAAAGAAAGAGAAGAAGAAGTCTCTAATTCCTAAACATGGATTATCGGATTGTCTTTTTAAGATTTTTTTCAGTGCTGGGGATTGAACCTAGGACCTTCACTCTGAGCTACACCTCCAGAACTTATTTTTTTTTATTTTGAGACAAGGTCTTGCTAAGTTACTGGGTTACCCAAGCTGGGTTAAAACTTGCTATCCCCCTGCCTCAGCCTCCCAGAGTGCTGGGGTTACCAGTGTGTACCATTATGCCTGGCTGTCTTTCTATTTATATAGTTTTTATTTAATTTCTTTCAGCAGTGTGTTAGAGTTTTCAGCCTGAGTTCTAGAGTGAGCCCTTTGCAGGCTGGGGATTTAGCTCAATGGTTTCGCCGCCTGCTGCACAAGCGCAAGGACCTGAGTTCGATCCCCGGTACAAAAAAAAAAAATCACTAGAGTGAGCCCTTTGTAAGCAGCATTTATCTAGATCATGATTTTAAGTCTATTCTGCCAGTCTCTGCCTTTTTTTGGAGAGAATAACCCCATTTACATTTAATTACTTTTTTTTTTTGGTACCGGGGATCGAACTCAGGTCCTTGCGCTTGCGCAGCAGGCGGCGAAACCACTGAGCTAAATCCCTGGCCCTACATTTAATTACTTTTAAAGAAAGGATTGTTTCTATCATTTCCCATTTTTTTCTCCATCTCATATTTTTTGTTGTTTATTTCTGCCATACTGCCTTCTTATGTGCTTAATTGATTGGTGGTACAGTTTTGATTACCTTTTTTGTGTGGGTGATTTCCATGGAAATTGCAAGTGACATCTTCAATTTATTAAGAGAAAAGTTTGACCCAGAGCCAGATTAGCTTTAAATTGTGTCTCAGTCACTTTCTTGTCGCTGAGACAAAATACTTAATACCCACGACTAAAAGGAGGAGGAAAGAATTAGTTTGACTTACATTTTTTAGTCCATGGCCAACTGACTTCAAGGCAAAAATGGCGCCGGCAGAAGGGTCTGGCAGGGGAGAGCTGCTCACCCCATGGCAGCTGAGAAGCAGAGAGAAGGGAGGAGTCAGGGAGGGAGATGCACCCCTCCAGGTCCTGCCTCCAGCCAGGCCCCGCCTCCTAACAGCGGAGTCTGCTCCAAAGTCCTCAGAGGATTAATCAGCTGAAGAGGCCCCGCCCCCATGGTCCAATCACCTTCCAAAAGCCCCACTTCCGATACAAGAGATTTTCTAAGGGGCCTTCCAGATCTAAACCATAGCAAATAGCATCCTCCCCTCCCCTAAGGCTCTGTCCCTCTTTATGTTGTTGACAATAATTTTATCAATGTGTTTCGTGTGCTCGTGAACATAGATTTAGAATTATTTTTCTGCATTTGCCTTTTAACTCATGTAGAAAGTTAAAAAGGAGTTACCAAGTAAAAATAAAATAATATTGGTGTTTCTATTTTCCTATATTGTTTCTTCATTCAAGAACTTGGTTTCCCTTTATGGCCCTGAGTTGATTTTTTTTTTTTTTGGTACCGGGGATCGAACTTTGGCCCTTGCACTTGCATAGCAGGCGATGAAACCACTGAGCTAAATCCCCAGCCCAGCTGAGTTGATCTTTTGAATACCCTTTCACTTCAGCCTGAGGAATGTCCTTCAGCATTTTTTCATGAAGCAAGTCTGATGGTGATGATTCTCTCACGTTTTGTTTATTTGGGAATATCTTAATATTCTTTTGTTCATTTGGAAGATTAGTTTTGCTGGAATAAAATTCTTTGTTTTTCCTTTTGGTACCTTAAATATGTCGATTTTATTTTTCTTTCAGCACTTTAAATATGCTGTCCCACTGTTTTCTAGCCTCGGAGGTTTCTGCTGAAAAACGTAAAGGATAATCTGACTGAGAGTCCTTTGTACACGACAAAGCACTTCTTTCTCACTGTTTTCAAGTCTCTCTGTGTCTTTGTCTTATAATCTGATTATTAGGTGTTTCAGTGTGAATATGGTTAAGTTTGTTCCATCTGGAGTTTGTTGAGCTTCTTGGTTTACAAATTCATGCTTTTCATCGAATTTGGAAAGTTTTAAACTGTACTTTTTCCAGTGTCCTCTGTCCCTTCCTCTTTCTTTCCTCCACCAGCGGCTGCCACCATCCTCTCACTGGTCCACAAAATGATCCACAGCTCTCTGGGGCTCCATGCACCTTCATTTCTTTTATCTTTCTGTTCTCTAGATTAAAAAATATCAATAGTCCTGTGTCCAAGTTTACTGACTCTTTCTTCTGTCGTCTCAAATCTGCTGTTGAGCAGAGTTTCAGAATTCCAGAATCAGGATCGGTCTGTGTTCTTCGGCTCTGGCTCCTTCAGGAGGACTCTGAGTGTCCTGCCCCACCACGTCAGGGATGGCACCCAGGACTTGAAAGGATGCACCCAGCTCCCCCAGGCTTATAGAATCACTATTAATACATGTGAAATGTTTTGTAAAGCTTTCCAAATAAGCTCTTAACCAGACTTGGTCTTGTTTCTTTGACAGGATTTCGAAATCATCAGTGGCTTAAAGAAACACAGTTTCCTCAGAAATACAGACAGTTATATGCCGTAGTCGCAGAATATGGTACAAGACTTTATGATTACCAGGTGATGTTTGATTAAGTTATCCCTGCCTGTTGCTCATGTAAAATTTAGGGCCGGGGATTAAGCTCAGTGGTTTCACTGCCTGCCTTGCAAGCACAAGGTCCCAAGTTCAATCCCTGGTACCAAAAAATAAAAAAAAAATTTTAAATAAAATAAATAAAATTTAATATGCCACAAGGCGAGTCCCATGTGTGGACTATGCTTTGTGTGAGAATATCTAACAGAAATAACACAGGAAATGGAGTTCTTTGAAGAGGTTTTATAGATAAGAAGCCCTAAAAATTCTCCACGGCCGCTAATCTCTGCAGGTGCCCAAGTGAAGCCGAAGGATAAGGAGAAGTGATAGATAAGTCTTCCTTGTTACCCTCCTGACTCCAGTCAGGACAGCGCTCTCCTCTGCCCCAGACATCTTTAGAACTCAGTGGGCATCCACAGAGGCTGGCCACTGAAGTCGTCCTTCTGGTCCACCCAGCCCACACCACTTCCCTGTATTCACAGTGAGGCTCATCCATTTACACCCCGACCTCAGAAAACTAGAGAGGAAGGCACGGGGCTATGGCCAGGTCATCGCTCCATGTGAGAAGGGACAGGCACACGTGCTGACTTTCTGACATGCAGTAGCTCCTTCCACCCATGGGTGACCTTGGACAGAGTGGTCCAGGTCAAAATCTCACGCCCTTCCCCCCAGGGCCTCTGAAACCCCCCACTCCCCAGCCCACCCAGCAGCGGCTTCATTCCCAGTGTCTTGCCAGGCGGGGCTGCTAGGAGCGGAGAACACGTGTTCCCAGCGGGGCCCTGGGTGGGAGGAGCGTCCCCTGGAGGTCAGAGGCTGGTTCTCAGAACGGCTCCAGGTCCTAGAGACGCTCCTCACTGTGCTTACACTGAGGACCCCGGGAGAAGAGGACACCACGTGGGAGGTCAGCATGAGGCGACTCCTGCGCTGCTGGGGTCCACGCATCCAAGACCAGGATGCGCAGCTGGGGCGCGATGGTCACCTCAGCCCCAGGAAGACAGAGACTAGCGTGCAGGGTGGAAACGGGGTCTCCAGTCACGGGCTGGCTGTGACCCACCCTCATCGCAGTGGCGATGTCCCTGTCATCTTGGCAAGCTGTGGTGCACAGCTGCTCTGTCAGGCCCCAGTGCAGGTGTTGGTTTGAAAGTATTTTTTTGTTTTGAGAGATAGGCTCTCACTAGGCAGCGCCAGCTGGCCTCGAACTCAAGGCTATCCTCCTACCTTGGCCTCCCAAGTGCTGAGATTGCAGGTGCACCATCAAGCCGGGCCTATGTTTTTAGATATGATTAACATTTGAATCAGCAGCCTTTAAATGAAGGAGATTGCCCCCCACAGTTTGGTGGGCCTCATCTGATCAGCTGAAGGTTGTGAGCAATCCCCCAAGGAAGGGAAATTCTGCGTCTCTGTGGCCGAAGACTTGAGCTACACAGTGCCTTGTCCTTGGTCTCCAGATGCCAGCTTGTCCCCACCGTTTCAGATTTACCAGCCCCACCATTACATTGCTGCATGAGCCAGCTCCTTGAAACAAAACTCTCCCTCCTTCCCATTTCCCTGGGATACCCTGACTACTATCTCACAAGTTCCTCTGGCTGGTTCTATCAGAGCCTGAATCTCGGGCAACCCCTTTCCCCTCAGTACTCTGCCCTAGATCCTAACAAGGTGGCCCTGCTCTGATATGCCAGCCCAGCTCAAATCCTTCTCTGGAGTGGCCCACTGAGACCACGGTGCCAAGATCCAGCGACAGGGACTCCTGTGTCCCCCCGCTTTATCTCAGATGCTCACTGGAGTCCATTTGTGGACTCTTCTGCCATGCCCTTCTGAGCTCTGAGCTTTCCAGATCCTAAAATTTCCCCCAGGTACACAGACGCTCAGTAAGTAGCTGAATGAATGAAAGAATGACCTTGGTGTTCTCTGTCCAGTTTTCTAGAACCATCCTTCTCTGTCTCTTGATTTTAGACTGATCAGCAGGCTCCATGGCATTTTCCTTCTAAAGACGCCTGAGGCCATGTCTAGGGATTGAGGTCTGGGTGTGGGCCTTTCATTTGTGAGCAGTGTCGCCCTGGGTTTGTGCGGAGGAGAGCTCCATCAGGAACCGCGGAGACAGGTGGAGCCTTACTGCTCTGTGTGGGACCCGTCCCAGAGCCCATGCCCTAGGCACTGCCTCATGGCTTAGTTTTGTTCACCTAACAGCAGATTTCAAACACATCCCCTTGCTTTAGATATCAATCATAACAGCATTTTATGACTAAGTAATACTCCATAGTTACAACGATTGCATACTCAGTGGATATTTTTTTCTGAACAGTTTAATGTATCTTTCATCTTTCATATTATAAACATCCTGGTGACTAAATCCATTCATCCACACTTGGCTGTTTACCTGGGACACATGTACTGAAAGAAGGATAAAGAAAGAATATTGGCAATTCTTAGATGGCCTTTTGAAATTGAAAATTAATGACTCGATCAGCTTTTCACAAAGCTAGACATTCCTCTCCATCTCCCACCATGGAGAACAGGAACCCGAGAATAGCTACACATTGTAAGAAATCCTGCACATCCCTTTATCCTCAGAACAACTCTTTAATAAGAGCATGGATAGCTCCACTGATAGACCTGAAGCTGGATCAGAGCCCGGAGTCAGCAGCCTGGGGCTGCCCAGCTTTGAATGCTGAAGCTGAGACGAACAACCAGAGCTCAGCAAGTCTCACCCTGCCGTCTGCTTGCTGCCGTTCACTGAGGACAAATGCTTACTGTCACACAATGAGGCCTCAACAGCCACAGATTCACCATCGCCACGAAGAGGTTAAGGACAATGACTTCAGATTACATGCTCCAGCATTTAATTGGTTTGCACAGGCTGCAACCATTATAACTTCGGGTATTAGCCTTCCTCTTCCTCTTCCCCTTCCTCCCCTTCCCTTTCCTCCTCCCCCTCCTCCTTTTCTTCCTCTTCTTCCTCTTCCTCTTCCTCCTCTTCTTCTTCTCCTATGGTGCTGGGATCTAACGAGGGCTTTACACCTGCTAGGCACTTTGTCCCTGAGCTACATCCTCAGTCCTGAGTCTCTGCAATGCGTTTGGTTTTTCTCTTTGTTTTGCAGTGTGGATGCTGCAAATTGCAATTCCCCACCCTCTCTCCCCTCCCCAAACTGGTTGCTATAATGCTCAGAAATAAATTTATGGCTCACAGTTGATAGCTTCTCAGAATTTAAGGTGTATATATGTTCCAAGCCCATGCTTCTAACATTATCTTACTTCTCCAAAGCTTATTTTTCCTTCACTTTTATTCCTTGGCTTATCTCTTTCTATTCTACACATTTTAATACTCTAGATAGATGGGTGGGTGGATGGATGGGTGGACAGACAGACAGATGGGTGGATGGTTCCTGTAGTAGAACAAGCATGAAATGCTTTTGGGATTCGAGCAAAATAAAAATGTTTTTACAGTTGTGGAAAGTTTTATTATTCAAAGAACTTTCAAATGCATATATCAGGAAATTCAGGAACATTGTCTATAATTCTTTCAAAGCCACAACAGAAAAAAAAAGGCATAAACTGGAAACTCTACCCCTATGAAGAAGCAACTCATTCCAAATGAAACTGAAAAATGAGAAATGAGAATCTGTATTGAAAAGCTCCCAAATCCACACCCTATCACAAAGACTGTGTCGAGGACAGCATATAAGAAATTAAGCTGCTCAGCTGAAAAAAATGCAAGGTAATTTTTTCTCCACTCCATGCTGGATTCCATGCTAATGTCACTGTGACACATTCCAACAGCGTTGGCAACTCATCCCTCCATTCATGGCACTGTTTTGAACATAGCAAACTGACAGGAACCAGGAGATTCTTCAAGACAGAAGAGCAGATTGATCAGGGGAGGAAGATGGAGGAAATTTCCCAGGTGCCATTCTGCAGTGTGCGGGGGCTGGGGAGGAATCCAGGCTCAGGGACACCAGGCTGTCACTGTGCCTCCAGGCCACTCCCCAGCCCCGGGTGGCATGCTGATTACCACCGTGGAGAGTTGAAAGGTGACCCCACCACCGAATCCTGACCCCAAGATCCTGTGAATATGACCCTTATGGAAAAGGGTCTTTGCAGGTAGAATTAAGAATCTGGAGATGAAATCACCCAGATGGGCCCTAATCCAAAGACGGGAGTCCTTATAAAAGAAAACAAGGAGCAAGGCAAAGAAGCCATGGAGATTAGGGGATCGGCCACAAGCCAAGAGTGCGAGGGGCCACCAGAAGCAGGAAGAGGTGCGAGGTGTGGATAGTCATCTCCAAGGGCCTTCAGAGGACAGTGCCGCCCATGGACCCCTGGTCTCCAACTTCCGGCCCGCAGGCTGAGAGGACCCATGTGGGTTGTGTCCAGCCCAGTTTGCAGCCCCAGGGACCCATGCAGCCACCTGAGGTTCTCTTTCGTGCTCTGGGAATGTGAGCACTGCTCAGAGGGACAGACCTGCAGCCTGCATGTCCTCCGCACACCCATGGGGGCTTGGGCTGGGCGAGAATCCCGGAGAAACTGCCGGAGCCTTCCAAGGGCTAGGTGGCCATCGAGGACAAGGCAAGGGCAGGCGTGATGAGGCCAGCGTCTTCACTGTCTCCCCTTCTCTGAGCTCTGTTCCCCTGCAGAGCCCCCAGGTGTCGCCTTGGGCCTGAACTTGGGTAACTGCGTACCGGGCAGGTGCAGGACGCCACAGCCACCTCGGGCCCTGCTGAGCCTCAGCCACCTTGGTGTGGTGTGGAGCCAGCATCAAAGAGGAAAGGGTGTGATCTCAGGGGAGACAGAACCCACTTGGACAAGCGGGGTACAGAATGGCTTACCTTTGTCTTTCTTTGCAGGCCAGGATGCGCATGCCCAGGGGACAGCTGGAACTTCTAAAGTGAGTGGGATTTGTACCGCGCCACACTCCGCTGTGGCCCCAAATGCCGTGATGATTTCGTGGAGTTAAAAACTAAAACCTGTTCTCCACTGTAGTATGCCCCACTGCTTCACCCAAGCAAGGGCACTGTCCCCAAGCCATTTCCTGTTGGCCACTAAGTTTTTTTCTCCTTTTTTTTGGTGAGGTACTGGGTGAACCTAGGGCCTTCACTAATCTGCATCCCCACCACTTCTTTAATTTATTTTTTTATTTTCTTGCTAAGTCACTAAATTGCCCCACCTGGGCTTGGACTTGCCATCCTCCTGCCTCAGCCTCCCAGAGTGCTAGGAATACAGGTGTACACCACCACGTCTGGTGATTTTGTTCTTTATAGTAAGCATAGGGCTGGGGACTTAGCTCAGTGTTTCCGCCGCCTGCCTCACAAGCGGAAGGTCCTGAGTTCGATCCCAGGCACCAAAATAAATAAATAAATATAGTAAGCATATATACCTTTCAGTCAAAACAGTCATATTTTTATTACTTTAGGAAATTATTGGCACTCTCATATATTTCTGCTTCCATGGATGATTCTTTAAGGAAATATACACTTGTTTTATTTTCAGAATTATGATCACACAAAAAATAGAAAACAACCATTTTTAGGTGAGAAAAATAGGCCAAAGTTTAGATACATTAGAGTCTATCCATGTACTGATGGAGTTATGACGCTACTAAAATAATTCTGCAATATTTTTCGTTTTCAGAGTGTACTAGCACACACAATCACAAGTACGACCTTATTTTGTTACTGACTTTTTACACAAAATAAAAACTGTAAGATCACATCAAAATTTAAAAGTGTTGATTTCTTCGAAGTGTTTGTATTTTTCCAGCTTTAAATGTATATGGTTTTACAATTGGGGGGGAAAAACTAGACAGGTAGCGCTCTTTTTTTTTTTCAACTTAAAGAGATACCTGTTTAACATGCTCTTATTCTCTCCAGCAGTAGCTCTTAAACCGCAGAGTAGTAGACTAAACTCTGGGAAGGTGATATCTTGATGCACGTGCAGGCGGTAAAACCAGGCAGAGGTACCTGGTCCCCGAGTGGGTCCAGGGTCTTTCCCAGAGCTCCAGGCCACTGCTTGGAAGCCCCCATGTTGCGCTGGGAGGGGAAGCTGTCCCGTTAGAGGGACTGCGACGCTGGGGACCTAGACTCACAGATGCAAGATCGCCCGGCTGAGGACAAGGAGGTGACTGCACCCCGTCCTCCAGCTTGGACACCATAGCCGCCGTCGCCTGGTGTCCCTGTGGCTCTTACGTGGTGACCTGTGACGCTTTAGACCAGCGCACTTCCCCGCTCCCCACCTTGGGAATGCGTTTCTCCTACACACCGCACACCCCAAAGACGGTGGCCCAAAGCCCAGCCCCCTCCTGACCGCAATGTCCCGCCGTCCTCTCTGACCATGGGTCTCTCCCCCTGCAGGAAGGAAAGCCAGGCTCTGGAGAACAATTTCCGTGAAATTCTATTGCTAATTGAGCAGATGGACCTTCTGAGGGCTCTGCTCAGGGACATGAAGGACGGCGCAGACCATGACAGTGGGAGTCGCCCCGGGGATGTCACCCAGGACCAGAACGGCGCTGAGGTGCCGGAAGAGGCAAGGCGAACTGGAGGGCCATGGGGACAGGCGCGTGCTCCCTGGGTGCTGCTGAAATCCACCTTGCCATGCCATCGATGCTGGTCACAGAGACACGGTGTTGCAGTGCGACCCCCTTCCTGCCCAAATAGACCCCTGGTTCCGTTTCACTTCCCAGTGAACAAACAAAAGCCAAAGATCTCTGGGAAGTGGTGGTCTCCGAGCATCTACCCCCAAACACTGAAATAGCAAGAGGCTCCCAGTCCCTGCTTTCATAGTAAGTGCCTATGGGCCCGTGGGTGCCAGGGTCCGGCAAAACAGTGAGAAAAACCAGTGGGCTAAGCTGAGTGTGGTGGTGCAAGCCTCTAATCCCAGCACTCTGGGAGGCTGAGGCAGGAAGATGGCAAGTTTGAGCCCAGCCTGGGCCACTTAGCTATTTGGTGAGACCCTGTCTCAAAATTTAAAAACTGTAAAAGCCTAGGGATGTAGCTCAGTGCAAAGGCCCTAGGTTTAATCCTCAGTATCAAAAACAAAAACAAACCAACCAGTGGGCTCAGCTTTCTTCTCTTCTCTTCGGCAGCCATGAGCACTGCCCGCCTGTCCTTTCCACAGTGTCCATATTTTGAAATTCACAAAAATCGGACATGACCACCCACTGCCTTCCAGGCCCTGCTTTCTACCTTGTGTGAGAGCTCAAGCTGCTCTGCCTGCTTGGGACAGTTGCTGACTTTAGGACAGCACCCTGCAGAACCCACGGTTACTTTGAGCAGATAAAAAACAGCTCCTAGAAGCAACCGTGCAGTCTTTGCAAACTGCCAAATTCCCAAATAACTGCAGAACACATGCATGTGCTCTGTGGCTGCTCCCACAGCCCAGCCTGCCTCAAGCCTCACCGGAGAGCAAGGGGTGCAGGGCTTTGGAGGGGCCCAGGTCCATCTTGCCCTGGGAGCCCCTGAACCTTAACTTTTTTTTGGTACTGGGGATCGAACTCAGGTCCTTGCGCTTGTGCAGCAGGTGACGAAACCACTGAGCTAAATCCCTGGTCCTGAACCTTAGATTTCATTGCTTCCCTCTCAGAGAAGGGCCACCCCCGCAAGGGCCTGAAGGTGACCTTCCCAGTCCCCGGTGCACAGTGCCTGGCTCCGAAAGCAAGCGGCTTGGGAGCCACTCAAACCATCCTTATTTTGCAGACGAGGACCAAGTCCTTCCAGTGAACACTGGTAGAGATTAACAGAAAACTGTTCTTACCATTCATACAGGAAATGTTCACCTTGGTAAATTATGTACTTAAGAAGTTGAGAGAGGACCAAGTGCAGATGGCGGATTACGCTCTGAAGTCGGCCGGTGAGTATGCACAGGAAAAATGAATAGATGAATATAAAAAAGAAAAGGGAAAAAATGGAATGCCCCCCCACCCCCCCGCCAATGCCTCATGCTTCCTAAATTTCTTTTGGTAATTTTGGAGGAGAAAAACATAGTAAGTCTAGAGGACGAGGAATAGGTTAAAAGTGGCTATCGTTGATTGCTTTCCAAAAGTAAATCTTGGCACACACCATGCAACTTAATGTGTGTCCCAAAGGACCTTGAAGGAAGCTGAGATGCCACCCAGATGAGGAGAAGGCTGAAAATAGTTTAAGCAGAGCAAAAATGACAGCAGTCTATATTAGAAACTGAAACACCTTATGCATTATAATCAATCTAATTGCTTTTTTCTTTTTTTTTGGACCAGGGATCAAACTTGGGACCTTATTATTTGTGAGGCAGGTGCCAGAACCACTGAACTAAATCTCCGGCCCCTCTAATTGCATTTTTAGTGATAGTTTTTAAGAGTCATGGCAGTTTTTAAGAGTCATTTAAATGGCAGTTTTTAAGAGTCATTTACCAAGTAGTGGTCTTAATATTTTCCAGGCCGGGGATTTAGCTCAGTGGTTTAGCTGCCTGCTGCACAAGCACAAGGACCCGAGTTTGATCCCCAGTACCAAAAAAAACCCCCAATATTTTCTATTTAACAGTAATCCTTCAGAGCTTGGGCTATGAATCATGCACCTTGACAATCTCCGATGGGAAATTTACATTTATTAGAGAAATTGTGTAGTTAAAACTTTCCTTTCAAAAAATAAAGCAAACTCGGACTGAATATTTAAAAAAAAAAAAAGCAAACTCTAGGGCTAGGGGAGTAATTTAGCAGTTAGGGTTAACCCTAAATACCACCCACATGAAACTCAACTGTATTCTGCTAGATGAAAGAGCCATGTTCAAAATGGCTGCGCATGGGGCCAGGGATTTAGCACAGTGGCATTGCGCCTGTCTTGCAAGCACAAGGTCCTAAGTTCGAGCCCCTGTACTGGAAAAAAAAAAATGGCTGCCCACTGTGAGTACAGAGACAGGGAAAGGAATGTCCAGTACAGATAGATTCGTGGAGACAGAGCTGTGATTGTCTAGGCCCGAAGCAAGGACTTCTGGGAAATGAGGAGAAGCCTTAACTGCTATGGGTTTCTTTGGCGTCTAAAAGTTGTGGTGCACTTTTGATGAATGATATGGTATCTGAATTATTTTAAAAGCTGATTTAAAAATAAACTAAATGAATAAAAAAGTGAACATATTTGAATTAATTAAAAACCTCACAATTCAATGTTCTGTGGAAAGCTTACATGGGTGCAGGATCAGTCCTCACATTCAAATGTGAAAAATATTTCCTGTCCAATTGTTGGGTAGGGGTATTAATTGAGTGAGCAGACGGTTCTAGCCTTGAAAAACTAGTATGTGCAGGGGTGCCAGGTAAAGGAAAGGGTGCTCATTAAAGCTGAATTTTAAACAAATAGCAAATAATTTTCTTAGGATAAATACATCCTAAATAATGTATGAGACATGCCTGTTACTAAAAAATTAGTCCTTATTTATCTAAAATTCAAATTTACATGGTAGCCTAAAGACTAATTTTAAAAAATTTATTTATTTATTTATACTGGGAATTGAACTCCGGGCCTCGGGCTTGCCAGGCAGTCACTGTGCTGCTGAGCTACATTCTCAGCCCAAGACTAATTTGTTTAGCAACCAGTGGTGTACATTTACTATTTCAGATCATGATGGGGCCGGGGATGTAGCTCAGTGGCGCTGTTGCCTGCCTTGTAAGTGCAAGGTCCTGAGTTCAATCCCAGGTACAGCAAAAAAAAAAAAAGTGAGCGACCATTTTGATCATGCAGTCTTACAGAAAGTTCTGGAATCTACGGCCATACCACCCTGAACACACCCAATCTCATCAGAAAGTTCTGGAAATCAGACATTTGATCAAGCACATTTGCTTTTAATATTATATTTTCTCAGACAAAATTTGAAGGAGCAGTTTACATTTTTTATCTCTAGTGCATAAAACACATTTTCTTTGTAAAACAAAGTAATCTGAAAGGACACTATTTATGAATATATTGAATTGATTAATATCAAAATTCAATGAGTAAATGTAATTGGGATTATGAATATAACTTGCAGGTCATTTAGGACATTTTGTTCTCTGCTATTTGTTTTTAAGTGAACAGGGCTTCAGGAAGTCTCACTGATCACATAAGCTGTGAAAATATAGAGTGCCATATATATATTTTTTGGATGATAAATAATCTGTATAGTATTTCCAGCTCCAATTTAATTGCTCCAGAATTCAATTTTTTATCATATCATTTTCTGAAATTTTGTAAAATTGTTCAAGGCCAACATAACTTTATCAATATGACAGAATTTTGGTGGAAATGAATAGTCATATTTTTCCTACTGTTTCCTTCACTGTGAATTTTGCCTCCTTTATAATTTTCCCAGAAATAGTTTTTTCAAGGACATCATTAAAATGCAATTGATATATATTGAATTGTGTATGCACTTTTTAAAATTTAAAATGTATTTTATATTTTAGGGGCCTCCATTGTTGAATCTGAAACCTCGGAAAGTTACACAAATAATAACACAAAACTGTACTGGCATGGGATAGGGCTCCTAAATCATGAAATGCCACCAGATATCATTCTGCAGGTAAAAAATGAAATTAACCCATTTCTATTTTAGGATTGTATTATTACCTGCCAGAAAGTCCAGGGAATATTAGAGCATCCAAACCTGAAATAATCTTATATTTTTAGAGGCATTACACCATATGGATTATTTCCTATTTAATGGCCAGTAAACTGTGCTTGGTTAATTTATCATTACTTATTATTGAAAGATCTATTTATTTCTTGGAATGTATACATTCCATATATTTCATTTATGGTCCTTCTGTGTCCTCCCTTTTAGATTGAAAATTTCAGTCATTCAACAAACATTGAAAGTGCTGGTCTTTTAAGTGCTAGTACTGTGTTAAGTGCTATTCAGGCCACATGTTCTCATCAAGTCCAATTGTAATGGGAACAATTTCCAGATAAGATTTCAACAGAACCTTTCGGTTCTGTTCCAAAGGAAGACATCACAGCAGTAGAACACTTCTTAACCAAAGTCTGCACATTTGAAGTTGGTTTCAAATTTGGATGTAGCTGCAGGGTCAAACCTACACTCATATCAGGTTGTACTCATAGTTTAGATCCAGAATATGACAGAGCTCGTTTTTCCCATCATCATTGTCATCTCCCACATCACCACCACCACCGCCATAACCATCCTCGCTACTGCTGTCCCGTCGCCAACTGCCGTTACCACTGGGACCACTGTGGCCTCAGTTGTCATCACCACCATCATCACAACCTCTCCCATCACCTCCTGCACCATCACTTCTACCATGACCCTGGTCACCACCACCGTCCGCATCCTCAGCAGTACCGACAGCCTCACCACCACTCACACCCTCTGGCTGTGTCTAGCAGCTCAGTCCACTGAGGCCCATGGAGGAGAGCAATGCTCACACGCTAAAGGTCTCTGATTGACAGAGGCACAAAGTGCTCTGGAAGACAACAAGCTAGGGGTGTCATGGACATTTCCTGTTTGATAAAGTTGCCCACTGCCTACATTCTGTAGGCATCGGAGAGATCTGCCAGCAGTAGTGATGCCAGCCCAGTGTTCCAGCAGTGGATTTGCAAAACCATATGAGAGATTAATTCCATGTTTTCTTTCCAGCCAGATGTCCACCCTGGAAAGTGCTGGGCCTTTCCGGGCTCCCAGGGTCACATCCTAATCAGGCTCGCCCGGAAGATCATCCCAATGTCCGTCACCATGGAGCACATCTCAGAGAAGGTGTCGCCTTCCAGAAACACGTCCAGTGCACCCAAGGAGTTCTCTGTCCATGTGAGGCACTGCCTAAGCCCTCACTCGGAGTGGGTGGTGATGGCAGGTGTGGGCTGGGAGCAGGAGCTGCACTCTCCTGATTGTCCACTGTGTGGCTACTTAGTTGAGTCATGTGCCTTCTGGGCCGTTGCTTTGTCATCTGCAAAGTGAGAGGGGTGGACAGCAGGCTTTCCAGCACTTAATTTTATTGTTTGCTTTTATCAAAGTTATAAATATACAGCAAAAATGTTAAATATTTCCATAAAGTTTAAATGGAACAGTGGTTCCTGGTCCCATGTCTCTCTCTTCCCCGCATGCTCATGACCCCGATGCTTCCACCTGAGACAATTTTAGCTGCACGTTCCGGCATTCATCCCATACTTGCTTTTACCATTATATCTTTATTTTCCAGTTGTGATACCCCCAATGGAGGTGAAGATGAGCTCCTTCCATGGTCACACCCATGTTCCCAGTATCTTTATCTTTTTTAAAGACCAGGCTTGGGGAGATAATTAACATAACATCGACTCATCCACTTAAAGTGCACTGTGCAGTGGCTTTGTGTGTTTATCGCCACAATCAATTTTAGAACACTTAACATTGACCACAAAAAGAAGCCTCAAACCCCTTAGCTGTCACCTGTCACTCATTGTACTGTAGCCCCTGGCAACCCCAGGCACTTTCTCTCCATACACATTACCCATTCGGGACATTTTATATAAATGAAATCATTGTGTGAGAGCTTTCATGAATGAATCCTTTCAGTTAGTGTCATTATTTTCCAAATTCACCCATAGTGAAGCAACTGTTAACATTTTATTTCTTTAATTGCTAAGTAATATTTCATGGTATAGGTACACCATTGTATTCATCCATTCCTTAACTGATGGACATTTCAGTTCTTTCCAGTTTTTTTCTATAATGAATAGATTATGCTTGTACATTTGTGTACAATTTTTGTGTAGGCTTGTGTAGAGTTATTGTATAGTTATTTCTGCCTTTTTGTCTGTCATGAATAGTGCTGCTATGAACATTTGTCTACGGGTTTTTGTGCAGCCTTCAGTTTTTGCTTCCTGGAATATACATCTAAGATCAGACTTGCTGGGCCTCCGGCTAAATCTGTGTCTAACACGACCGAGGAGCTAGGACCTGAATCTGAATTTTGTTTCAATCATATTCAATGTTTTTATGGTGAATGTGTGAGCCATATTGTTTCTAGTTGAGCCATAGAGTGTACTTGAATATTGTTTCCTTTTTTTTTTTTGCATAATTTTGACAGTTTGGAAGATAATTTCTTTATTTAATTTGCTCAGTTTTACTATATTCTCACACTAAAATAATCCTAATCTTTTCATCAGAAGTGTAAATATTCTCATGTATCTATCTAATCATCTATCTTCTCCTTATCTTTCCCTATAATCTTTCTTATATCTTCCTATCACCTGTCTTCTATCTATTTATCTATCTTCTAGCTCTCTGTATTATCTATCTTTCTTGTATCTTCCTGTCATCTATCTTATCGTCTCTCTCCGTTATGTCCATGTAGCTAGTTAGCCAGCTATCATCTGCCTACTTAGCCGTATGACTGGCCCTCAGTCTCACTAACCCCAAAGCCTGAGTCCTTGGGGTGCATTGGCCAGTTGTAGCCCTAGCACAGCTTCTGCCCATGGTGGACACAGAGTGTCGAGTGAGTCACAACTACATCCATTCATTTTAAGTCACAACATACTCATTACAACTTTTGTATCTGTTGGTCTCCTTTTAGGGTCTTATGAAGAGATGTGAAGGAGAAGAAATTTTCCTAGGTCAATTCGTCTATAACAAGACAGAAACCACCATTCAAACATTTGACCTGCAGGTAATGAGTGCCCCGTGAAATGGTGAGATGTGGTGGGCTCCATCGCTGGGGTGATGTAAGTCATGTGAGGTGTGGGCAGGTTCTGTGCAAATACTACACCATATTGTACTGAGCATCTAGGATTTGGGTGTCAATGGGGTCCCGGAGCCAATTCCTACAGACACCAAGGGCTGAGCCCAAGTGTTAGAAACGGACGTATCATTCGACTTTCACATTTAGTGGCTTCTTCTTATGATTTGGGCTCATCCATTGGGATTTATGGTTGGCTTTGTAGATGCGCTCTTGTTCTTGTGTAGCACAGTAGGGAGCACTGAGCAAAGGACACAGGCGGAACGCGACACCCAGTACCTAGACCACCACCACGTTCTCTCCCTCTGCTGTGTTTACCTCTTCTTGAGCTCTTCTCACCCTTTAGATAGGCATCTGAAAAGGCTTGTGTTAGAGGAAGTTACAAAGAAAGGGTTTTAGTTTTCTATTATATCCATGTTCCTGGGATTCTTTGAGATGAATCTCATTATAAGTCATTCTTTTCTTCATTTGCAGCATGAAATTTCTGAATCCTTATTATGTGTGAGGCTGAAAATCCTTAGCAACTGGGGACACCCAAACTACACTTGTCTGTATCGGTTCCGAGTCCATGGCATCCCCAGAGATCACACCTAGAGGAGCTGGGGCCAGGACAGTGGCCGCTCATCAGGCACACTGTGAGATTCCAGATTAGACACAGCCCTTGGAATCAGAAGCGGGGAGTGGGGCGAAACCTCAGAGTGGTTTCCATTTGCCAGAAAAAGTAATAAATTTTACTGATAAAGATATGAAAGTAAATTCAACCTTCTTATAGTTTGCCTTTTAAGGATGCAGTCATGCTGCTAGAGCATTGAGAAGTAATTTTGTACCTGGTTTTATTCAACCTTCATTCTCACAATAGCATCTGTGCCTTCATTTCTACATCCTCTGTGTCATGTGTCTCAGTCACTTTCTCATTGCTGAGGCACAATACCCAACACCTACAACTTAAAGGAGAAGAGGTTTATTTGGGCTCACAGTTTCCATCCCTGGTGGAAGGGCCTGGGTGGACAACAGCTGCTCCAGCCATGGTCACTGGGAAGCAGAGAGCAGGGAGGAGTGGGGAAGGGAGAAAGACCCTTCAGGGTCATGGTCCTGATGACTAGGTCCCACCTCCTAACTGCTCCTAACTGTAGGGATCCTATGATCCTAGCCTCAAACCACACCACCAGTAAGGGAGTCAGCTGTCACCACTCTTGTTAACACTGGTCTGGAAGCACTGTCAATGCACTTAGACAGCAGGCAGATAATTTTTAATTCAGAGGAGCTAATTTAGTGAGGAGTTCTGGCCATGACTGTTTGCAGATAATTTGATGAACTCCTTGAAAGGCAACAGAGACTATTTTTTTTAAAGTCACAAAAAAGTAAAAACTGCAATAAGATGGTAGATATAAAATAACCATCTATATATCATTTATAAATACAAACAACAACCTGTAAGCAGGTATAATCTACAGAGATCTAAAAAGGAAGTAACATGCCTATGTAAAAATCTCCCAACAGAAGTGAATGATTAAAAGAGGATCTCAAGAAATAAAAGGAAATCTCTGAGTTACTGAAAATGAGGGTGCACTGGGGAGAAATGAGGGCCTCTTGGAAAGTGCTCTTGGCTGATACCTTTCCCAGACACATGAGTGCCCTCTTAATGCCACACTGATGTGGAGGAGACCCAAGAATGTGTCACAACATGGAAGCAACCATTTCCACACGTGCTTTGGTGCAGGGTAGAATCAGGGCTATATCCTTCGGACTCTTCTTCTAGGGTCACTTTGGTGGCAGAGTGCCCATGTTTTCTGCATCAGGCTTGGACTCTGCCCATGTGGAGGTCAGAAGGATGATTCCTTCCCTCCCTGTCCCCAGGAAAATATCAAAAGTGGATTATCCCTCTGTAGCTGTATTGCATACAGACTTTCACAGGACCATGGTAACCCTAATCTGCGTTTTCTCAAAGCAACACTAACCCTGAGACACACAGCCGAAGTCGAGTGGATGGGAGAGACAATAAGAGAACAGTGGCATCAAAAGAGCTGAATAATTATATGTCTTTTGATATGACTGAAGGTTTTTTTCCATTAGAGAAAAGTGTTGGTAAATACAAAATGGGTGGATTAAACTTTTGCAATATTTCCGTCGGTATTGTTATTTCAGGGCTGGTGTGAAACATTGCAATGTAATATTTGAATGTGTTTTTTGAGTCTCTTTTTTACTGTACATTTCATCCTCGGGTTAGAAAATATCTGGAGAGAGACATTCTTTCAATTTGATTTTCAGTGCCTACTTAGTTTTTGAACTGTGTTTTTGTGACAACATATCTGTTATGATTTATATCTAGATGATCCCCAAGCCAATGTACTCACAGGCGGGACTTTCAGGAGGTGATTGGATCATGAGGCAAGATACTCACCAGTGGATCGGTCCACTGGTGGGTTTCTAGCTAACTGTGATACTGGGAGGCAGTCTCTGGGGGCCTGGCCTGGAAGAGTCTGGCTCCCTCCCCTGCTCCTCCCCTCTCTCTGCTTTCTGTCTCCCATGCCATGGGCAGCTCCCCGCCACACTGCTCTGCCTTGGAGCCAGCCACCCATCTAAGAACTGAGATTACTAAAACGTGTGACAAAATAGACCTTTCCTCCTTTAAATTGCTCATGTTGGTTTTTGTGTCTCAGTGACAAAGAAAATGACTAAGACCATATCTTTACTCCAGAATTTCTCAGATTAACATTAAGAAGACCCTGGATGTGTATTTGATCTTCTTTATAGAACTAGTGGTATTTTTAACCTTTGTATATGCTTTACACTATTAACTAGGTGCAAGGTCATTGAAACGTTTAGAATTTCATGCTGAACTTCAAAAATTATCAGGTGAGCCTGCTGCATCTACACCAGAAGGTATTTGTTATTCATCTAGGAATAAAGCTAGCCTGGTAAGAATATGTGGAGTTCTGTTTGGAAATCCCTACATCCAGGGATAAAAATTCAGACAACTTAGTGGTCTTTCCTCAAGTTAAAAAGATCCCTCTGGATCATTCAGAACAGCAGAGGACTCATAGTAAATCCAGCCTGCATCTCCATCGTGAGTATCTTAGTTTTCTCATTGCAGAGACAAAATACCCAGCACCTACAAGTTAAAGAAGGAAAGATTTACTTTGGCTCATAGTTTGTAGAGGTTTTAGTCCATAGTCACCTGGTTCCAAGGCAGGGTGTCATGGCAGAGGGCACCGAAGAGGAGAAACAGTCCATAGCAGGGCAGGCAGGAGGCAACAGCCAGTGGACCTCCCTGTCCCTTTTATTCTTTTCAGGCTACAAGTCTATTGACCATACCCAGGACTATGCTAAAACAATCAGTGGGCTAATGCAGTACTACATACCCTTTATCCCAGTATCACACACCCATGATCCAGCCAGCTCACAAAAGCCCCACCTATGAGCACATGAGGTGGGGGACATCTAGATATGAGCCATAACAATGAGTGTGACAATACATTCATGGTGTCAGGGACTGATGATGGGACAGGTAACATATGAAACACGGACTGAGATCTGGGGAAAGGTCATCCAGCCTATTCAGTCCCATTCCATGAACAGAAGGGCACCAGAAAAATACACTGCCTGCCTGCATCAAGCACATCTCAGATATAATTGCATTCCAAACAAAGTCATGAAACCCTAACACATCTGTATTCACTGACAAGCACTGACATATTAAAAATGGGGGAAAGTACAGCTTTAAATCAGCAAACACTTAGAATGCAATGATCTCAATTTGTACATTTTCTTACTGACCTTTACACTGACATTATAGCATCTAGAACAGCAGTCCTGTCCTGAGGAGTATTCTAGCCTTCTCTGAAACATGTGGTTGTAATGAACATTTTCCTAGCTCACTCTTTACACAATTCATCTATAAAGTACCTTAGTTTAAAAGTAGCTTTAGGGGAGTAGTAGTTGGATTACACTTGAAGTACTGCTGGGGAAAAAGCCAAACTTAACTTCATGCAAATACAATTAGATCTCTTCATACAGAAAAGTCTAAGTTTTCTGCAATATTCACCATCACCCAAACTACTCAGGGACATAGATTCTATTTTTTTTTTAAGTTTTTAATTCAAAGTAGTAGAAATTGGTGGGCAGGTCAGAGTAATATATGACCTTTAAGGTTCCTTTGGAAATCAGAAGAAAACTAATGATTTTCACATGGAATATGATAAAATGGTAGCAAGTACAGGATGACAGATTGTGATCAGGATGATCCTTAACTATCACACCAAAGGAAAATGAGGCTGACTTTGATCTACCTTGGGAAAAACTATTAACTCAAGACGTAGCCCAGAGAGGGCGCCTGCTGCACCCACTCTTTGTGGAAGTTAAATGCCTGGTGTCATTCATCGCTGACAGCAGCAGATGTCACCGTCTCTGCGTGTGGGACCTGCCCAGGGCTGGCCATGCCGGGAGGACCCCAGGCATTCACCGAGGAGCTACTGTGTGAAATAAAATTGAATTTCTGGTTGCATGATTTCCCATCTTCCCTTTCTATCAGCAGTGTAAGAGTGAATACTAATGTGATTTTGGTGTAAGACTGCTTCTTATTTTGTATAAGATTTAAAGACAGCATCATAAAAATAGCTATATGGTTTGGGGCGCACCCTATACAAAGATGTAAGCTGCAACAGCAGTAACGTGAAGGGCTGGATTTGAAGTAGTGCAGAAATAGAGGTTTTGTCTGCTGTTGAAGTGGGGGAAGAGACCGTGTTGACAAAAGAGGTGTCCACACAGATGGGAAAAGGGAGCATGCATTTCCCTTTTACCCAGAACGGAGGAATCTGAAACAAACTGGAGATGGGTTCCTGCGCCCGTGCTGTGAGGAGAGGATTTCTCCATGGACGTCAGCATCTTTCCAGTGGGAAACCAGCTCCACAGGACTTCAGGAGTCTCAGAGGGGCAAAGTTCCAGGCCATGTATGGACTCAGTGACAGTGTGGTCGTCACAGTAACACTGGATTTGACTCAAGACTAAAAACATATGGATGTCTTTTTAGAATAAGAAAGCTACCTGTTTTTATTAGTGCATAAAATATGAACAAACATCTAACTACACAAACCGGGCACGTGGGCAAGAAGCCGCCTTCCTGCTAAGTCCCAGGGAAGCAGGAGCCACGTGTCGGGGAGTTGGGGTTGGACACCAGCAGTCCCTTCAGTGTGGGCTCCTCAGGGTCCAGACAGGTGGCCTGGGGATGGCAGATCTGTCAGCTGGGTGCACAGGGACCCGAGGCTCAGTGGCTCCTGTGGGGATGGGGGGACAGGGCTGTGGCTTTGAGTTCCAGGAGCAGGGAAGAAGGATCCTGACTCCAAGGACCCAGGGGACCAGCAGGCTGGGTGTGCTCAGGGCATGAGAGCTTCCTGGTACAGCCCCAGGGCAGGGCAGGGGACAAGGGCCCCCAGCCCCTGGGGCAGGATGGAGCTGTGCCCGCTCTCCAGCCGAGGCAGGCCAGTCCCTGTCCCCAGCAGCTCGTCCTGCCCCTACAGCAGGTTGGGCAACCAGCAGGGAGGCTGGGGAGGGCAGGGTGCATGCCCAGCTCTGCCTCCTCCTCACAGACACAGATCCTGGGTGCACACGGCCCTACCAGGGCATGAAGGACAGGGCCACCCCATTCTGGTCACCAGCCTGAAGGCAGACGGCCTGTGTTCTGCTTCCTGCTCCTGGACCCAGGGCCCTCCCTCTAAGCCCACTCATGCAGCCTCCTATCCCTGGCACACAGTGGTCCAGGGTGTCCCGTCAGCCTCCTGGGCGCAGGGTTTGTGGGCTTTGTCTGGTAGGGGACCCCAGATAGGTTTACTGGGCACTCAGGGCCCCCACCCCCGTGCACTTTAGGGCATCAGAGGCACACAGCAAATATGTGGCATGAGGTGGAGCTCGAGGGGCAGCCTGTGTGCATGGCCTCCAGGCAGGTGGCCCTGGGGACCCTGGCGCTGTCCCCAAGGGGCGGGGTGGAGGTGGCAGCAAGCACAAGATGCCTGGCCCAAGACCAGCACCCACAGGGTTGCTTGTGGGCGCAGCACAGTGAGGGAGCCGGCAGCTTCCGCCCTCAGGGTCCTGCCCAGGCCTGCGTCCCGGGCACAGGAGGATGGCACTGGCTCAGCGACAGCCAGGGTGTTCCATGCTACTAGAGAACGGACCACAGCCGCTGCCTCCCCTGGCTGTGCAGACCCTCAGTCCGGGTCCAGAGGCCCAGCACCCGCCTCTGGCTTTGCCCAACGGGAAGGGAGCAGGAGAAAAATCCCCAAAGACAGCTGTGCACAGCCGCCTCCCTTCAGCACTGCCAAATAAACACGGCTCCTGTACAAGAACGACTGGGGCGCTCTTTTCAGTACCTGGGATTGGGTGTTTCGCTGGCGGGGCGGATGCTGGCACCACTGCATGAAATTTAGCTGTTAGTAAATGGTGAGACGAAGCTGAGACTTACGATGGGATGTTTGTCTCTGCCGTGGAGACCATGGGTAAAGGGCTCTGTTGGCCAGTTTTATACATCCAGTTACAAACAAGTGTGAAACAGTACCCGAAATTAGCATTTTCACACCTGCCAAGGCCCTTCGCTTTCCTGGACAGATCCATCAGCACCTAAGGTCCTGCCAACAGGCAAGAAAGAGAAAAAGGAGGCATGGAGGGCCGGGGATTTAGCTCAGTGGTTCCACCGCCTGCCTCATAAGTGCAAGGTCCCGAGTGCAATCTCCAGTACTGAAAAAAAAGACATATTTAACTTATTTAGAATTAATTAATTTTGTACAGGCAGCTAAACTACCAGTCAAGTACGAGATTAAAGAGAGTTTGACTTCTGGCACATTTTATTTAGGAAATCATTTGATGTTGTACCAGCAAAATAAGAGCGCAAACCAAGGAAGTAGAATATTTAGAATCTAAAAAGCAGAATCTGTAACCCAAAGGGGCCAGGGAAGAGTGGGCTTGGGAGGCCAGCTATGCCCGGCCACCGAGGCGACCAGTGCAAACTGGGACAGGAGGATTGAGTTCAGGAGGGAAGGGTGGGAGAGATGGGGAAGCCAGAGTCCACACCGCTGATACGCTGCAGAAACATTGCTTCTGGCAGACATTAAGAAAGGGATAAAAAACAATCACACAAAATACGGACAGCTCATCAAAATGGAATGTGATCGCGGCCCTCTACCTACCTGGGAAACTGGCAGCGTTTACTTTGTTGTAATTGTAGTAATATAAATGCCTCCTATTTAAGTTTCAGCTTCTCAAATGTACCCATATTCGAGTGGAAGTAAATGTCCTCAGGCCAGGGATGAATCATTGGAAGTCCAGGTGACCAGGATGACGGAGAGAAGCCGCCCATCCAGGCTCATCCTCGGGGACTCAAAGACACCGCCTGCAGTGTTCAAGTAGAGGAGCACACACACTGAGTCAGAGAGGCGGCAGCCAGCTACAGAATTTAGGGACTGTAGCTCTCTACTAGGAAAATGAGGAAGGGATGTGTGGCAGGTGTGAGCAAGCAGACAGCGGGGTAGCGGTGGAGAGGAATAGCTGTGGATAATCCATGAAGGAGATAGTATCGCCATTACTTGTCAAACAGGGCTATTGTGAGGGTTAACTGAGAAGTAGCTGAAACTATAAAGAAGTATCAGTAACACCATGAAGCATGGATCTACTCTCTACCAGTCAGCTGGTATTTGTAACAAACGCTATAACGGCTGTGTCTCCACGTCCCCACAAAGCCTCTCCACTCACTCACAGGTAGGGATTTTGGAAGTGGCTGGATCTACAGTGTGTGATGCTGGAATCAAGGGTGTGATTACTAAATTAGTTCACTGGCTGGTTTGGCATAGATCTGGGTGTGGAAAATAGGGAGGCCCTGCTGTGCTGAATGCAGGTAGCCTGGACAGAATGTAAGGGACAGAGGAGGGCTGCTGTGGACGTTGTTGCCTGCTACTTCAATACTTCGCTGCTTGGTGCCTCCTGCTTTGCCGGGCTGATTCTCCTCCGCGATGCCACCCGCCTTGCAGCCAGCTGACTATGAACTGACACCTCTACAAACTGTGAACTGAAATAAACCTTTCCTCCTTTCACCTTGAGTGTTGGGTATTTTATCTCAGCAATGAGAAAATTAACTAAGACAAAATGCTAAGCATTTAGAAATTCAACAAGGATTCCAGTAGCCGAAGTAGGACGATTGCTGGGAGTTCAAGGCCAGCCTGGGCTACATGGTTAGTTCAGGGCCAGAACTACAAAGAGGCAAACAAACAAACAAAAAAATCAAACAAAAACAAATTCAACAAGGGTTTTATGTGGGCCTTGGAAAACAGCAATCATAGTTCAGGCTGGCCTTGAACTCACTATGTAGCCCAGACCAGCCTCAAACTTGTAGTGATCCTCCTGCCTCAGCCTCCCAAGTGCTGGGATAATAGGTGTGCACCACCATGCCTAGTTTGCAAATGTATTTTGATTAAATTGTAATTAGTGAATTATCTGTTCTTTTTATGCACTCTAAATCATGAAATCAAGATATTCTGGGAGTCTTTTCCAGGTGTCTTCTTTAAAAAACCCTATAAAATAGTGTTAATTTTATAAAATGGAGTACTACTCAGCCATCAAGAACAAGAAACTAGAGACATTTATAGCTAAATGGATGCACCTTGAGGCCATATTCTTAAGTGAAATAAATAGGACACACATGTGTAAATACTGAATAGTTTCTCTGGTGTGAGAAACTAAAAGTGTAAATAAGGATCAAAATGTATAATTGATAATGTGAAATAGGAAGAAAAGGTCTAAAGGGGTAGGGGAAGTGGGAGAGGTAGGGGAAAGGAAAGAAGGGAAAGGAAAAATTATGAGAAAAGGAAAAAATGGAAACAAAGTCTTTGTAAATAGGGAGGAGAGGAGGAATTGAAGGGAGGGCAGGAGAAGGGGAAAAAATAAGAACCAAGATACATCATGTAAAGGTGCAAGATCTCAATGATGAATGTAACTGTATTGTATACCTAAAATATACCAATAAACTTAATGGGAAAAAAAAGTGTTAAAAATTAGGTCAATTTTTTTTTTTCAAAAATTAAGCAAGCCCTCTCAGGAGCTCAAAAATTATAAAGAAAAGGCTGGGTGTGTAGCTCTGTGATAGAGCATTTGTTTAGCATGTGTAAGGCATTGGGTTTGATCCTAGCACCACAAAATAAATTAAAAAGGGAACTATGCACACTCAGTACTATAGTGGGGTTGGTTACGGGCCAAATAAGCCTGGAAACAGGAGATGACCTTATTGAAGGCATGGGGAAATCTACCCTGGGGACTCCAACTCCTGGCCGTGTGACTTCCAGGTCGAACTCTCCACCTTCTAGGCAGAGGTTTTATGACAGAAGGTGCCAGTGTTACTCCCAAAACACAATGGCACCCCCTACACTCAGGTTCCCAGAAGTACTTTTCACCACCAGCAGAACCTGGTAACAGACGACGGCCCTGGAGGGCAGGTGGACAGCAAGGCTGCCAGCGGTCACAAAGCCAAGGAAATGTGCGCTCTTCGTCCCCTTCACATGCCTTCTGCTGCTGTTTTTGTGTTAGAGCAGGTTTTACTCCATGGACAAGGTGGACAAGGATTTGCCAGTGAAGTACAGGGATCCTGAGAACCGGCAGAACTGCCCCTGGAAGGGGACTCATGTGCTTTGCTACAGTACTTAGAAAACAGACCAGTTGCCAAACATTCCCTCTGAGATGCCTTTGCATGCTGAAGGTGTGCTGTTTACAACACAATGTACCAGCCCTACACATTCTAGCAGTATGGTTAATAAAACAAAAATGATTCTTTGCTATTTCAGAAATTTAAGTGTTGCTTACGCAGGTTATTCTGCTCTATCACCAGAATTCTTGGTCAACCCTCACTTTATTCACAGATATAAACAGTATTTACACAAACTTAACCCACACCAAGAACTAGGTTCACCAAAATCTGAGCAGCCAAAATGCCTGCTATTAATAGGAAGTTGTAATTCTTTTGTCAAAAGAAATTAATGTTCATTCCTTTTATCCTGCAACAAAATACTTATGAGTGGCAAATCAAATATGTATTTTAGAATTTTATATGTGCTTAATACAGGCTGCATGTGCATGTACATTCATACATGTAAATATATAAATGTACGTGGAGCTGAATATCTATAAAAGAAAGCTGTAGGGTCTCCTTAAGATTAGAGACAGCCAAGGCTTCAGTGCATTTTTATTTTTCTAAGGACACCACTTCATTCAAGACTAAAACACTGTCCACATTTCAAAAACAGACAGAATGTTATTACTATGAAAATAGTTTTTAAAAAAAAGAAAATACATTTTAGCCTCTGAACTATGGTCCAAGACTGAGGAATGCTGCTCAATCTTAAGAACTAGACACTTCCTTCAGCTTGAATGTGCCCCAGAAAGCAGGCGGTGGAATCCAAGCCCAGGGCGACAGTGTGGGCCGGTGGGAGGGGGTCTCAGGCTCTCAGGAGCGGATGGAAGCCCGGTCCAGAGGCTGTGGGTTGTCCCGGACTCTTCCTCACTGCAGATCAGAAAACAGTAACTCAACTCTATGCTGCTGTTTTTGTTTTGTTTTGTTACTGGGGATTGAACTCAGGACCTGGCACTTCCAAGCCAGGTGAGGCACCACTGAGCTAAATCCCCAGACCTAGGCTGCTGTTTTTAAAAAAGATTAGAACTTGGAAAATAAACACTGAATGAACAAATTGAAGTAATAGAATATTTTCTAAAAAGGAGTTAACTCTTGTTTTGTACTACTTGTTTACAGTTTGTTAATGGACCAAACTACCACCCTTCCTGGACTGCTCACAGGGGTTTCCCACCCCTACCATCCTTTACTTGACCTTTCCCTTAAAGGCAACATTTACCTGATGGAAGACGCTGTGGTTCGCACGTTTGTGCCCTCCCCCAATCTACTTGGACACTTACTCTCCAAGCTGACAGTGGTAACAGCAGGGCTTTTAGGCGGTTAGGCCATGAGGGCACTGCCTGCTGATGGGGTTAGGACCTGTTTTCAGGAGCCTGACACTTGTCTCCCTTCTCATTCTCCAAGGGAGGACATAGTAGGCGGCAGAGCCCAGGCCTGGACAGCAGCCTGCTGGCACTCCGAACTTGGACTCACAGCCTCTAGAAGTACGAGGAATGAATTTCAGGCACCTATACATCACCCCATGGTGTTTTGTTCTAGCAGTACAGCTAACAAGAGCACTCAAAAGTGCAGGGCATGGGTCAGGGATTTAGCTCAGTGGTTTTGCCACCTGCTGCGCAAGCGCAAGGACCCGAGTTTGATCCCCAGTACCAAAAAAAAAAAAAGTGCAGGGCAGTGCCAGTTTCCATCAAACCCTTACGTTTACTAATCCCCAAGATGCCAGAGTGGAAACCTCCTCCAGTAAGATTCAGTTGCCCCTGTAAGAGAAAGAAAGACTGTCATTCTTGAGCGTATGACTACGTTCATAGTAACTGAAATGTGGAATGCCGTAATTTCTTGGACTCAAAACCATTTGAGAATCACATCTAAGTTTACCTCAAGATACCATTAAAAAAAAAAAAAAGACAAAAATCCTAGGGCCAAAAAGCTCCTTAGTGACGATGCGGCTTCCCGAACAAGTTTATTTTAAAACTCACTCTGCTCAATTGGAAATGTCATTTTGGAACTTTTTGGCTTAATTTCTTTCTGAACATGACAAAAAATAT